TGCGGTCTCCAGCTGGTGTCCGACCTTCGTAATTGCGCATGTTCTTGAGAGCTCCAACTGTAAATGGTTGTAGGATGAAGAGTCTCTCAGACTGCTTGAGGTAGTCTTCACGGTCACGAACCGAATCTGTGGTACGAGTCGAATCGGTCGATTTGAGGGAAGAGACTGAAAGCCTGTCGTCTTCCATTGGAGCTGTAGCATACTCTTTGCGTAAGCGGTTCAGACCTTCTTCGAAGTCTTGGTCTCTCTTCGATTGAGATTGGAATTGGAATTGCTGGGGTGGAGCTTGCTGGAACAACCAAGGGTTGGGGAAGTAAGGCATAGGCTGAGGAGGGTAGTTCGGGAAGCCTTGTGGTGGGTAGTAACCTTGAGGTGGAAATTGGTAGTAATTCGGAGGTACTTGCTGGAACTGAGGTTGCTGAGGAGACTGTTGTGGTTCTGCAGCTTTCGGTTCTTCTGGCTTTGGAAGGCATTCAGGAAGAGGAACGTCAGTCATCCGTTTGTGGCTTAACCGTCGGACCACAACGATAAAAATCTCTGCTACTAGCAGTACTTTTACTGACAGTAGCAGTACTTTTACTGACAGTAGCAGTACTTTATCGTCGAAAACCCTCTCAAATTTTCCTTTTTACTGACAGTAGCAGTACTTTTTCTGACAGTAGCAGTACTTTATCGTCGAAAACCCTCTCAAATTTTCCTTTTTACTGACAGTAGCAGTACTTTTACTGACAGTAGCAGTACTTTTTCTGACAGTAGCAGTACTTTATCGTCGAAAACCTCTCAAATTTTCCTTTTTACTGACAGTAGCAGTACTTTTACTGACAGTAGCAGTACTTTTTCTGACAGTAGCAGTACTTTATCGTCGAAAACCCTCTCAAATTTTCCTTTTTACTGACAGTAGCAGTACTTTTCTGACAGTAGCAGTACTTTATCGTCGAAAACCCTCTCAAATTTTCCTTTTTACTGACAGTAGCAGTACTTTTACTGACAGTAGCAGTACTTTTACTGACAGTAGCAGTACTTTATCGTCGAAAACCCTCTCAAATTTTCCTTTTTACTGACAGTAGCAGTACTTTTTCTGACAGTAGCAGTACTTTATCGTCGAAAACCCTCTCAAATTTTCCTTTTTACTGACAGTAGCAGTACTTTTTCTGACAGTAGCAGTACTTTATCGTCGAAAACCCTCTCAAATTTTCCTTTTTACTGACAGTAGCAGTACTTTTACTGACAGTAGCAGTACTTTTTCTGACAGTAGCAGTACTTTATCGTCGAAAACCCTCTCAAATTTTCCTTTTTACTGACAGTAGCAGTACTTTTACTGACAGTAGCAGTACTTTTTCTGACAGTAGCAGTACTTTATCGTCGAAAACCCTCTCAAATTATCCTTTTTACTGACAGTAGCAGTACTTTTTCTGACAGTAGCAGTACTTTATCGTCGAAAACCCTCTCAAATTTTCGTTTTTACTGACAGTAGCAGTACTTTTACTGACAGTAGCAGTACTTTTTCTGAGAGTAGCAGTACTTTATCGTCGAAAACCCTCTCAAATTTTCCTTTTTACTGACAGTAGCAGTACTTTTACTGACAGTAGCAGTACTTTTACTGACAGTAGCAGTACTTTATCGTCGAAAACCCTCTCAAATTTTCCTTTTTACTGACAGTAGCAGTACTTTTTCTGACAGTAGCAGTACTTTATCGTCGAAAACCCTCTCAAATTTTCCTTTTTACTGACAGTAGCAGTACTTTTACTGACAGTAACAGTACTTTTTCTGACAGTAGCAGTACTTTATCGTCGAACACCCTCTCAAATTATCCTTTTTACTGACAGTAGCAGTACTTTTACTGACAGTAGCAGTACTTTTACTGACAGTAGCAGTACTTTTTCTGACAGTAGCAGTACTTTATCGTCGAAAACCCTCTCAAATTTTCCTTTTTACTGACAGTAGCAGTACTTTTTCTGAGAGTAGCAGTACTTTATCGTCGAAAACCCTCTCAAATTTTCCTTTTTACTGACAGTAGCAGTACTTTTTCTGACAGTAGCAGTACTTTATCGTCGAAAACCCTCTCAAATTTTCCTTTTTACTGACAGTAGCAGTACTTTTACTGACAGTAGCAGTACTTTTACTGACAGTAGCAGTACTTTTTCTGAGAGTAGCAGTACTTTATCGTCGAAAACCCTCTCAAATTTTCCTTTTTACTGACAGTAGCAGTACTTTTTCTGACAGTAGCAGTACTTTATCGTCGAAAACCCTCTCAAATTTTCCTTTTTACTGACAGTAGCAGTACTTTTACTGACAGTAGCAGTACTTTTTCTGACAGTAGCAGTACTTTATCGTCGAAAACCCTCTCAAATTTTCCTTTTTACTGACAGTAGCAGTACTTTTTCTGACAGTAGCAGTACTTTATCGTCGAAAACCCTCTCAAATTTTCCTTTTTACTGACAGTAGCAGTACTTTTACTGACAGTAGCAGTACTTTATCGTCGAAAACCCTCTCAAATTTTCCTTTTTACTGACAGTAGCAGTACTTTTTCTGACAGTAGCAGTACTTTATCGTCGAAAACCCTCTCAAATTTTCCTTTTTACTGACAGTAGCAGTACTTTTTCTGACAGTAGCAGTACTTTATCGTCGAAAACCCTCTCAAATTTTCCTTTTTACTGACAGTAGCAGTACTTTTACTGACAGTAGCAGTACTTTTTCTGAGTAGCAGTACTTTATCGTCGAAAAACCCTCTCAAATTTTCCTTTTTACTGACAGTAGCAGTACTTTTACTGACAGTAGCAGTACTTTATCGTCGAAAACCCTCTCAAATTTTCCTTTTACTGACAGTAGCAGTACTTTTACTGACAGTAGCACTTTCTTCTGAGAGTAGCAGTACTTTATCGTTCGAAAACCCTCAAATTTTCCTTTTACTGACAGTAGCAGTACTTTTACTGACAGTAGCAGTACTTTATCGTCGAAAACCCTCTCAAATTTTCCTTTTTACTGACAATAGCAGTACTTTTTCTGACAGTAGCAGTACTTTATCGTCGAAAACCCTTAAATTTTCCTTTTTCTGACAGTAGCAGTACTTTTCTGACAGTAGCAGTACTTTATCGTCGAAAACCCTCTCAAATTTCCTTTTTTACTGACAGTAGCAGTACTTTTACTGACAGTAGCAGTACTTTTACTGACAGTAGCAGTACTTTTACTGACAGTAGTACTTTTACTGACAGTAGCAGTACTTTTTCTGACAGTAGCAGTACTTTATCGTCGAAAACCCTCAAATTTTCCTTTTTACTGACAGTAGCAGTACTTTTTACTGACAGTAGCAGTACTTTATCGTCGAAAACCCTCTCAAATTTTCCTTTTTACTGACAGTAGCAGTACTTTTACTGACAGTAGCAGTACTTTTTCTGACAGTAGCAGTACTTTATCGTCGAAAACCCTCTCAAATTTTCCTTTTTACTGACAGTAGCAGTACTTTTTCTGACAGTAGCAGTACTTTATCGTCGAAAACCCTCTCAAATTTTCCTTTTTACTGACAGTAGCAGTACTTTTACTGACAGTAGCAGTACTTTTTCTGACAGTAGCAGTACTTTTATCGTCGAAAAACCCTCTCAAATTTTCCTTTTACTGACAGTAGCAGTACTTTTTCTGACAGTAGCAGTACTTTATCGTCGAAAACCCTCTCAAATTTTCCTTTTTACTGACAGTAGCAGTACTTTTACTGACAGTAGCAGTACTTTTTCTGAGAGTAGCAGTACTTTATCGTCGAAAACCCTCTCAAATTTTCCTTTTTACTGACAGTAGCAGTACTTTTTCTGACAGTAGCAGTACTTTATCGTCGAAAACCCTCTCAAATTTTCCTTTTTACTGACAGTAGCAGTACTTTTTCTGACAGTAGCAGTACTTTATCGTCGAAAACCCTCTCAAATTTTCCTTTTTACTGACAGTAGCAGTACTTTTACTGACAGTAGCAGTACTTTTTCTGACAGTAGCAGTACTTTATCGTCGAAAACCCTCTCAAATTTTCCTTTTTACTGACAGTAGCAGTACTTTTACTGACAGTAGCAGTACTTTTACTGACAGTAGCAGTACTTTATCGTCGAAAACCCTCTCAAATTTTCCTTTTTACTGACAGTAGCAGTACTTTTACTGACAGTAGCAGTACTTTTACTGAGAGTAGCAGTACTTTATCGTCGAAAACCCTCTCAAATTTTCCTTTTTACTGACAGTAGCAGTACTTTTACTGACAGTAACAGTACTTTTACTGACAGTAGCAATGGTCGAGGTCGAACCTACCGACGAGGCAATTTACCTAATTGAAATTAACGAGCTTGTTAAAGACTTCCTCAGGCAGAATGTAAAAGGCAAGCTTGTTAACGGTTGGATAACGGGAAGGGCTGCCTTGAATCTCGAGATTTCGACTGGAATTCCAATTGAGGTACCAGAAGGCACTCCTTTCGACGACATAAAGCAAGCAAAGAAGGAAGCCATTATAAAGTTCTTTGCCAAGCGTCCTTGGATACTACTTCCAAACAGAGAGAACCCTTTCCCAAGAATGAACCAAATTCTCAAGGGTCTCCTTCACTTCTCTGGTCAGCCGTTCTACATAACCTGTGAAGGCGACATTCAGCCAGTTCAGTAAACATCTCATTTTTAACTCACTTTTTTTATGTTTTTACTCACACTCGTACTCACCCGGTATGAGTACACATATGTCAACTGTGAACCTTGTAGTGACCGGTCTTCCTGCAAATGCAAGTTTGGTCAATACACAGTTTATGGTGGCAAGAAAGACAGTGGGAATGCGCGCTCGAGAGAGAATTGAAATTCCAGACCCAACTCCAACAAGAACTCTCAAGTTACCAGAGACTCGTGTGAAGAAGAAGTCATATAACAAAGCACTTATAGCCATATACATGGCACGTTTAGAGTAAAAACATTTTTTCATTTTTTGAATGAAGCAAGTTAAATTCGTCCCACACCAATCTCAATGGACCGATGAAGAGTTTCAAGCCATGGTTGAAGGTGTTGAGAACGACATAGACGGCGAACTTGAAGGAGCTCAAACCACAATTGCAACCAAAATTGCACAAGTCAAAGAAGAGATAGCTCCACTTAAAGCTACCAAAGCTACTCTTGACCTCATGGATACTTACCGTTTAGAAGTAAAGAGTGGAATAAGACAATTAAAATTGAAACTTCTAAACTACGAAGCTATACTCCAAAAGTTAGCAGAAATGAGAAGACTTTACCAGAGCTACTTACATGTAAGGGACTTACCTTCAAGCAGTCCGACCAAAATGAATTCTCTGACATTGTCCAATTTGTCCGAAAGTCAGCTCAGATGTTTTGAACTGCTCCCAACATATCCAGAATATGAAAATTTGCCTGAACTCTTTCGGTTCCTCAAAAAACGTTTTTTGGTTCTCATGTTCGAAACTTTTATCGGAAGAGACAACAAACGTTCAGAAGAAGAGCAAGATATTATTTTAAACTTGTTGTATGACTTAACTGTCATAACCAGCTTTTTGAAGTAAAACCGTCATTCTCAAACCAATTCATTTTTTCGATGTCCGAACAAGCACCGAAGCCAAACACAAAATATCAGAAATTCAACACAATTTACTCTCATTCCTGGAACAAAAGTTCGTGTAGTTCTTGACGACAAACCATTGACAAAGAAACGTTTAAGGTTAAGTCGAAACTATTATATCGTAGACTCTACGCAAGGTAATGGATATCTTATAAAAGCTGCTGACGACTCTATTGCGTTTTATCCTCGACATAAGTTAGTTGAAAGTAGTAATGGCAAACTTGCTGAAACCATTGACGAAGCAAAGCGAGGAGTGGTTATTGAAATACTTGGCTATAACACAAACGATGACACTTATAAAGTAAGATATGAAGGAGGCGTTGAAGATGTTATACCATCTAAGAACTTGAGAGAGTCAAAGCCAACACATCTGGGACCATTAGAGCGGGAGTACTGGAAAGACAAAAATATGCCAGAAAGAATAAGAAAATTCTTCTAAACTTTTTCATTAGATGTAAATCAGACATGAACGAGAACAGTCATGATATCATTAATGGTACCATTTATTTTAACATAAAGACGCAAAGCGGCGGGGCATAGCCCATGACCAAAAATAATTTTTAGGGTAGATGGGTATATCTAACCTAATTTCTACCCTCATTTCTACCCTCGTGAATTTTCATGAATTTCCTTAAGATAGAAAAAATAAAACTAACTTTATTTTTATTTATTTTTTTATTTTGTATAAAAGATATGATTTCAACGATCGGCACAACAACAATTCAAACAACAACAGCACCAAACTCGTTAGTCATGAATCCAACATCTATGTTAGTAGAGATGAAAAACTTCATTCCTTCTTCATATAGTTTTGGAACAGAAATACAAAGAATAAAGCAAGAACTTTTAACAAGTAATTTAGACTGTACCGCACAGGATGAAGAAAATGAAGAATATCTTTATGACATGCAGGACATTATTGACCATTTACCCAAATTGCCTGAAATCCAGCAACAAAAGCTCACTATTCCTGAATTCGATGAAATAGAAGTGAAACCAACTGACTCAGTAGAAATAAAGAAGTTCATACGAAAGGTAAATTATGAGTTTCTAGGATATCATTGCAACCATAAAGTTATGGACAAAGATTGCGATATGGTATATAAGAACATCTCTGACATATATAAATCGGAGGAGTTTAAGACATACGACAACTTTGTTTCATTAGTTGCAAAATGTGTATTGCAGATAAGAGATAAAGATAGAAGAGGTAAAGTATGGAATTGACAAATAAAACCAGCAGCTTTTGAGCTAAAGAAAACCATTGACGCCTTAGTTGTTCTAGCAGGTCAAATTTCAATGTATAACGCAAAAATGAATCCGCAATGTTCAAAATGTAAAGCAGCAATGAGGAAATATAACTACTCCGTCAAAGAGATAGAACGAATGAGAAACGACTATGCTGACTTAAAGAAAGAAGCAGAGAAACCAGCAGAAAATAAAATGGACATGTTAGCATTTCTGAACAAAAACTATCCAACTGCTGACGATTTCCTTCTATCTGACGTCAAGAAGAAGTATAAAGAAACCTTCGGCATTGTTAAAACTTTTGATATCCTCAGCGAAGAAATAGAAGCTACAAAACTGTTTAGAGTCTCACGAATTCATAACGTTTACCATGTAAAACGGTTATAAATAATGAGGGTAGAAATCGTGGTAGAAATTAGGTTAGATATACCCATCTACCCTAAAAATTATTTTTGCTGAATTCAGCACAAAATTCTGAGTAAAATGACATAGGGCATGTGTCAAACCGTCGTGTCCTTCAACTTGAGGTTCACTAACATCGAAAGGCATGTTCATAAGACGTTCTTCTTCTAACCTCTCTAGTCTGTTTGGATAATTGGCACGTGCTGTTTCCAAATCTAATTCGTAGGTCAGACCAGCCAGTTTGTCATAGACTTTTATTGGCTTTCCCTTCCTATATTTAAACTTCTTCGAAACTCTCCAACCATATCTTTGCAACTCTGCTTTTATTCTAGCAGACTTTCTGTCCATTCTATATGGGGGCATTTTTATAAAAATAAAAAAATATTTTTTTTCTTTACTTTACATAACCGCCTGCTGCCATAAGTCTTTGACGCCAACCCATACCAGCTAATGAAGGTTGACTTAGTTTAGTTTGGAAACTAAACTTTGGTTTTGGTTTATCTTCAGTTTTTGGTTTTTCTTCTTCTATCGGTTTTTCGTCACTTTTCGGTTCCTCTGACTTTACTTCACTTGCAGGAACAGTTGTGTCGTCAACATCTTCATAAATATCATATGCCATTTGTTTTTGTTTTCCTTTCAACTTTTTGTGTTTGTTGTAAAGTTTAGAATATTTCGACTCTAAGTCAATGAGATGTTCTATAATGAACTGTTGGTCAGTGAAGTAAACTTTTCCATCTGTTGTCTCGAAAGCTCCTTCAGACTTCAATATTTTATTTGTGAGAGTCTGTTTCTTTTTTGAGATACTAGCCGTTCCATTTCTATGAAAAGTGACTTTATAGTTAGGGTTTGTATTTCCAGACCTGGCACTTTCTATTATTGAATTTTTCTCTTCATCTGTAAGTTCTTTGACATGTTTTGACAATGGTTCTGAACTTTTTGTTTGTGGTGTCAAATCTACCGTTTCAACTTCTTCGGTCATTTCATCTCAGTAAAAAATTTTAATTTGGTTTGTTTTCAACTGGTTGTTTAGGTTTTTTAAGTCGGTCTAAAACTTCCTGAGGTATAGGAAGAACTTTACAAACACGTGGTGTAAAAGGTGGTCTTCCATGACTTATTCTGTTTAAAGCTGCATTGTTCATTTCATCTCAATAAAAAACTTTACATTCTCCACGTTTGAGGCGGTTGAGGTTGGTTATTGTTTACCCACTGTTCATGGTTATATCCTCTGTTAAAGAATCTTTCACCTTGGTCCATATAGTGTCCTGCTTGGTTATAGTAGTCATTTGCTTTGTTATAATAGTTTCCTGCTTGTCTTCCTACATTGTCCATCCATCCTTGAACTTTTCCTCTTGTTTCAGGATTTGGAATAAGATTTGTTGCATCTCGTGCTACATCCCAACCTTTCTGTACAGTTTGTATAATAGGCTGAGCTTTGTCTTTCAGTATACCTAATGTACTCAAAATCTTTCCTTCCAATTCCAAATGCACCTCTGGCTATTGTTCCCACTGCGGGTAAAATCTAGATGCGACTCCTGCTAATGCGCCAAATAAACCCATTTCTTATAGGGTAAAAAATGACGAATCCGAACAAGGACCCCTATGTTTCTAAAGCGACAAAGAAAGCACTCATGATAAAAATCTTTAGTTCAACACCAATGCTTGGTTTATGGATATCTTGGAAAACATTCCGAGAGTTAGAACAGATGGACCACCATACTGGCTAATATTTGTCGGTCAAAACAACAAGATACTGTGAAGCCATACCATTATGGTCCAAAAATATTTTAGATGTGAAAACTGCTTTGACAATATTCGTTGACAAATACCATCCAACAAAACTGACATCTGACTGTGAAAGTTCTTTCAAATCAGATGATATTAAAAACTATCTGCGTTCAAAAAATGTAAACCAATATTTCATTGTCGACCAAAACCATTCTGCTCTTGGTGTCATTGACGGATGTATAAAAATGTTAAGAGACTTAAACCAACCACAAGGTGGTGAAGCAAATGAAATGTCATATGACGACAAATATAGACACTTCTCCCAGGCAAAGATGAGACAAGTTTTAAATATTTACAATAACCGTAAACAAAAAGGTTTGGGAAACCACTCCCCGAAGAAATGAAAAACAACCCTGACTTAGAGAAAGACTATATATTTAATAATTTAGTCAAAAGAGACAAACAAGAAAGAATGCCAGGCTTCAAACTTAAGAAAGGTGACAAAGTAAAAATAGAAATACCTAAACGCGACCCATATGAAAATACTATTGACTATGACAACAATGGGAACTCGACAGGTACTCACCTTCGTGTTCGTAAAAATAGAAGAAAGTATACAAGAGAATATTATGAAGTTTTAGGCAAACATGGCAAAATGTACACACTGCAAGCAGAAGATAAAACTACTATTGTCAGACCTCGTTTCAAACTTGTCAAAGTTCAAGGTGGAATACTTTCAAAGACAGTTCCTAACAAATATAAGACAACTCCTGACGAATATGCTAAAGAAGTTGAAAATGACGACTAAGCAATTCTATACCATGCGTAAACTGTCATGTAAGGTGGCATGTATTCTTTACTTTGTCCCGTTGTTTGCGTATATCCTGAAACGAAATGTGTATGGTTTCCTTCTCCCTGCGTGTTATTCCAGTAACAATTTATAGCAAACTTAACGTCCTCTTTAACATCATATCCTTTACCTTTTGTCATTCCTGACCAATCCCAATATCTATGACTATGCCAACCTGCTTGAGATGTACTTAAATCTATGTAATGACTGTGTGCAGGTAAATTTTCACCTGAAATCGTTTTACTTCCACCTGTTTCCTTTGAAGAGTTTGCACAATACAAAAACCTGTCGACTATTTGTTCCCATGCACCAACACCAAACATTACTTGAGGACCTCTTGCATCCATAGATGTATAAATAGAACCTACTGGGTTCATTAAATCAAACATATGAGATATTATAGGATTGTCTCTTTTGAACTTAAAATATAGTGCAACTATTTCAGGTTTCTTCTGGTTTGTGTCAGAATATTTTTTATAATATAATCTTATGTTTTCAGGGTAAGTAAAGTCTTGACTATAATATTTATGTCTGTCATCTGTATAATAATATACTATTCTCGTTTTTTCTATTGCATTATATCTTTTATATCTATAATAATCTAAATATAATGTTAGCTTTTGTTCATCTACATGTGGTGTTCTGTCGTCATCTCCATAGTCATAATAATGTGGTGCCGGAGCTGGGTCAGGTAATATCATATCCACCATTTCATAAACTCTTAAATATTTCTTTTGTTCGTCTCCATATAAGTTTAAGTAGCAGTTGTTGTCTAATGGAACTTTAACTTGTGTACCATCATTCTTTTTATAGCTTACATACATTTCATTGTTATTTTTCGGAATGATTTTATGCCGTGTACCATTTTTTAAGGACTGTACCAACTGCCATCTAAAATATTTATTTTCTTCATTGACAGAAAAGTCACCAACAATAGTTTCAATATTTTTTGTTCCTATCAAACTTTGGTATATTTCATTGACATATGTTTTATGAAACAATAAGAATTACCGAAAAAGTGACAAAACATCAAAAACAGGGAGGGGGTCTCAATTTTTATTACTTATATTATTTTACAATATTTATATAAATACTCTTTATAATATATTTTACTATAAAATTATACCTCAAATTCAAATATTTAAAATATTATTTACATAATTATCTCAAAATTATATTTTTATATATTATTTTTCATATGTATAAATCATATAATCTATATCTATGCAAATCTCATCTAAATTTTTTTGAAACAAACCGCTATCATTTTATAATGGTCTATCTTAAATTCATCATAAATTCTGGTACATGTTAGTACCAGAGTCTTCAAATCTCAAACACTCTGGTACCAACATGTACCAGACGCGAGTTTCCAATGCCCTCGTACGATTTTCTATTAAGATCTTCTTGAATGAGAAGGTCTTCATAGAAACTCGTACGAGGGCTTCTCTTTTAAATACTCTGGTACCTGCTGGTATCGGAGTCGACTTTACAGCCCTTTCCCCAATTTTGAAGCTGGGGAAAGTTTTCAAGCAATGAAAGGGAAGCTCTCGCTATGAGGTGAAAATCTAGAATTTTTACCTCATAGCGAGTAATCCTTTGTTAATTGCTTGAAAACTTTCTTCAAATTATCAAAATTTCGAGGAAAGTTTCCTTGCTTCAAAGTAGAGATGGAGCCCTTTGAGCCACTGCATATAGGTCAGTGACTCAAAATACTCCATCTCTACTAGAAATCGCCAAAATTTGGGTCGCAATCTTTGAAATGCGACGCAAGTTTTGGCAATTTCGCGAGGGACTTGCTCCATTTGGTGCATAGAGTCACACTCTATGCACCAGATGGAACAATTCTTTCGCTGACAGCGGGAAACTTTGTCTGAATAGTTTAACATTCAGACAAAGTTTCCCGCTGTCAGAGAGGGAATGGAAGGGTAAGAGGTATATATTCATAATGTATACCTCTTACTCTTCCATTCCCTCAAGAAAGTTCAAAAACTTGGGTGCAATCAGTTCTGATTGCACCCAAGTTTTTGAACTTTATATAAGGAATTGTTGGCTATGATGTACTGATCATGAATCAGTACATCATAGCCAACAATTCCTTCGCAAACAGTGGGAAACTTTGTCTGAATAGTTTAACATTCAGACAAAGTTTCCCGCTGTCAGGGAGGGAATTAGAGGGTGGGAGATATATAGATAGACTATAAATCTCTCACCCTTTAATTCCCTCAAGAAAGTTCAAAAACTTGGGTGCAATCAGTTCTGATTGCACCCAAGTTTTTGAATTTTGTATAAGGAATTGTTGGCTATGATGTGGATAGCCGCTGCCAGACCAAATGAATTAACCGTTGTGAATAACGTTTCTGAATCTTTATTTAAAAAGATAAAATATCACGATTTTGGCTGCGTTAAAAATCAAAGAATTGATGTTTTTGTCAAAAATCTTTTAGAAGAAGTTGCACCCAATTACTTTTATCGTATTAAAAACGATTTACTTCAAACAGGTTTTATTCCTTCAATTAGAATTCGCGAGCCTCGATTGACAGATTATAAAACAAAATTGAAAAGAGAAGTTCAATCACGTTTATACCAAGTATTAAATTTTGTTCAGAATCAAGAAGCCAATTTGAATCCATTAAGATTTTTATTGGAAAATGCTGAAGAAAAACTTTCTCAAATAAATGAGAAGATACAAAATTCAATTACATATTTAAGATCGTTTGAAATTCCAAATGAATTGTTAGATACGTATATGTTAGAAATTAATGAATTTTGTTATAATTCTCCAGATTATATTTTAGAACATTTCGAAGAATTTTGAGAGGATTTCAAAGAAAAGAATAATTTAATAGACTAAAAAATTTATTATTTTTATTTATTGTGAATTTTAAATTGTCACTTTTTAAGTGCCACTCCCTATTGAAAGTGTCACTTTTTGGGTGTCACTTTTTCGGAAATTCTTATATACTCTTGACAGAAAAGTCACCAACAATAGTTTCAATATTTTTTGTTCCTATCAAACTTTGGTATATTTCATTGACATATGTTTTATCTGCTTTATTTTCAAGGCTAACGTTTAAGTCTGTTATTTCAGAAGATGTATGTGTATGTCCAACGTCACTTTTCCTGTTTAAGGTTTCTTGTAAGTTTGTGATATTTGCAATGGTATGTGTATGTCCAACGTCACTTTTCCTGTTTAAAGTTAGTTGTAAGTTTGTGATATTTGCAATGGTATGTGTATGTCCAACGTCACTTTTCCTGTTTAAAGTTAGTTGTAAGTTTGTGATATTTGCAATGGTATGTGTATGTCCAACGTCACTTTTCCTGTTTAAGGTTTCTTGTAAGTTTGTAATATTTGCAATGGTATGTGTATGAGTCTTATCTGCTTTTGTCTCTAATGTTTCCTTAAGACTTGGTATTTGGTTAATATAATGTATATGAGTCTTTTTAGAATATTCGTTTTCAGCTCTTGTCACTTCACTTGACATTTTATTGTCAACATATGTTTTGTCTGCTAGTTCAGGATGAGTATGTTCTTTTGTTGCATAAGCATTGTTAGCTCTTTCTTCTTCTTTTGCTATTGCATTGTCTACATATTCTTTGTCAGCTTTGTTGTCAACATCTGCTTTCAAAAGAAGTTCATTTATAGGTTTCTCGTTTAAAGTTCCTTTTGTTGGATTTATACAGACAGTATTGTTCTTATTGTCTTGAAATAGAAACTCATCTGTTATAGGGTTTAATGTCAGTTTTAAGTCACCCCCTTTCAATGACTCAGATATCTTAGAATAGTTTGAAAAGTTTGTTGTGTTCTTATTTAGAGCTTGCATAATGAGTTGTCGGTTGTGTTGTATTTCTCTCATAGACGCTGTTTCATTTGACATTTTTATTATAGATAAAATATGCTTCCAATAGAAAAAGAAAATTCTAGAGTTGCTACAACTAAACCATTAGATGAACTTTTTACTAATGTCGGTCAAAAGTTTGAGACAGATACCGTAAAGCATGAAGGCTATCGTTTTGACTACCCATTAAGATGGTTAAGAGACCCATCTGTCACAAAAGCTATTGGCTTTCGAAGAATAAAGTTTGTGTCTGTAGAAGATAAAAGTTTTCCATTTATTGTAAGGTTTCATATAGATTATACATCTGAAGGGCAACGAAAAATGTGGGAAGAAATTGAGCTAATACAAGTTGACCTCTCATCTTCTCTACAGACTGCATTAAAAAATATAGAAGATAAAATAAATTCATGTTATGCAAAATATGCTGATGAATATGCGAATACCGATAGCACACTTTATGTGAGAATTGTATATGACAAACAAAATTCACAAGTGTCATTTCAAATCTACGAAGACAATCCAAATAAAGACGAACAAATATATACAGAATTCACTGCAATGTCATGGTATTATTTGCAAAGAATGTTAAATCAGAAAGTTGAACCTCCTTTAGCAAATATCTACAGTCGATATGCAAGAGATGAACCATATTTATTTAAAGATGTTTTCGACCCAGATGCTATTATTGTTCATGCTTCATTTTCTGGCGCCCAAAACTCTTTCTTATGCTTGGCAAATGACTTTTACGAAAAACCTACAAAGTTATACGAACCACCAAGTGGAAGTATTTCAGACTTTCAAGTATGGTTTACTACAGATGGAAGAAAAAGAATAATTCCATTATACCATGCGTTTTACTTAGAACTTAGTTTCATATACAACTACTATCGAACGATAAAAATATAATTTTTTAATACGGTTGAGGTGTTGGATTTGGTTGCCAACTTGACTGTGGTGCAGGTTCAGGCTGTTGTATTACAGGAGCTTGTTCTTCTGGTTCAGGGTCTTTAGGTATAATACCAACAAACTGACCTACTCTTTTACCAATATTTTTGACACCGTTCCATACTCCTCTTCCGACAGATTTTATTCCATTCCATATACCTCTTCCAACATTTCGAAAGAAGTTTCCTATCTTACTGAAGAAACCCATTTTACTATATGTAAAAATCTAATGTCCGCCTAGTCTCTTACGTTTCCTGTTGAGTTCCATAGCATTCTTTAACTGGAGCTCATACATTCTGTTTCTCCTCTGGTAGAAAACATATTCTGGGTCAACTCCTGTGTTCGCGTCATCTGCATAAAGTTGTTTATATCCCACTTCAGGGTTTGTATAAAACTCTTTCCATCTCATATTTGCATACCATGGTGGCAAACCTAACGCAGCGTCATTTGACATGGCAGTTTGCATTTGTACATCTGTTGGCACTTGACCATAGTTTGCCATTGCAGTTTGTATTCTAACTTCATTTGGAATATTCTCTGGGTTTGGTTGTCCAGGTTGCTGTGCATTCGCTAAGTTCTGTGCGTCCATTTAATATTAGATAAACATATCTCTTACGAGTACATATGCTGAACATTTGCAGGCATTGGTTCATCTTCATATTCTCTGTACTTTTCTGCCACGTCAAATAAATAAATGACACAATGGAAAAAACCTAAAACAAGTAGTCCTATTTCAAACCACATTTACTTACTAATAAAATTTCTTTATTGTGACACTTTCTCCAGTTTATAGGACCTCTCTCATATTCTATCTTGTCATATATAAACTCATAGTCATGTATGTCCTCTAACCATCTCATAACGGTTTCCAAACCACTTTTATCGGATGTAAAGTAAAAGCATGGATGGTTATGTATAACGTCTAAAGTTTCTAAAGAGTCTCTCAAAGTCCAGTCGACTTGGTATTGAAAATCCCATGTGTTATAGAACGGCGGGTCCACTATAAAGAAAACATTTTCCTTGTCTTTATATTTTTCATACAACTCTGTCCAATGACATCTCACAAACTCTATACCCTCAATATATTTTTCTATGTCCTCTTTGAAAACATTTGTATAGTTAAGATATAAAACTTTTGACATAAGTGTTTCAATGTCATGAACTCTTATAGCACCACTATATAATAGTCTAGCAGATATACTATCCCAGTCTATATATTCTGCTTTTTTCAAAACCTCTCTCACAATATTTTTCTTATCTAATGGTATACGTTCCATCTTACCTATAGGTATCTTTTCTTTTAACTCTTTCAATATATTATTTGTGTCTGGAATATGTTTGAGACGGTCCATATAGTTGTCGAAGTCATTGCATATAATCTTTGAGTCAGGAAATACGGTATGACATAAATGGGATATATAGAAACTTCCACCGAACAAATCTACAAATGTTAGACCATTCGGTAGTTTCTTAAGTTCTCTCAATATAATATCTTTACATCTACTCTTATTTCCAAAGAACGGTAACGGCGGTTTTGTAAAATTCATTTATATATAATAATAAAAATGTTTTTACCCGAAAAGTGACAGAAGAGTGACAAAACATGAAAACATATATAATTTGTGAAAAGTGACATATTATATATGTTTTCGACCCAGAAGAAGGCTTCTTCCCAGAAGCAATGGAGGAGGAAATACAAGACTCTATCCAAGAAGAGTCCTCCGAATTCACACCAGAAGACTAACAATTTTCCGAATAAAAACTTCATTTATACTAAACATCTTCGGGGCTAGAGGGCGCAACGCGCCTGGAAGCCCCACTACCTTTTTTAAGTGATTTCTTTGTTTATTTAAATATGAACTTATTACTATTCTAACTCTTTCGCATTTTTCATTTCTGTTGTTCTTGGCGGTTTTTCCAATCCACATGAGAAGAAATCGACAATTACGTCTGTATTGTTACCACGATAAAAACTCTGATAAAGATTACTTCCATAACCCTATAACAAATGAAATTTTATGGGTTCCTCCTGCAGATTGCGTTATTATTAATCCCGAAACACTTCAGCCAATGAAATTGGAACGCCATAATTTAAACCGTGAAAAATCATTTGAAAATAATGAAGCACTTCAGATGTTAAAGAATGTCAAAGCAAGAAACCGCCAATCTTTAGTTCATGATAAAGTTAGATACCGACGTACTGCTGCATCGCGATCTGATCGTAAATCGACTATAATTAGCAGCCTTAAGACCATCCCGCGTTCAATGAATCAAACGGACACTTCTACAGAAGATGTCCCTTTTTATATGCCAAAAGAAATCATGCGCGATAGGCTTTCGATTGATGTTCGTCAATTTGCAACCATGAACTTCAATCAAAGGACGAAAGGATCTCTTTTCTCCAAAAAACTCATTCCTCCTGACAATCTTCTTCAATATTCAACTGATTCATCAGTTCTTCCGATTCTCAAGCGAACTCCTGAGAAACTTACAAAACGATGCGTTGATATTTTCAACTTAGTTTTTGATTATTGCAAACAAAAGCCGCAAGCACTTCCAAGTACTCTCGTTAAGATGCTTATTAACGAAAACAACTTCATTGATGAAACTTACATTATATTAATTAAGTTAATTACGAATAATCCTTCGAATGACGATATTAAAAGAGTCTGGGATTTAATTCTCGTTGTTTGTACATTCTTTCCGCCATCTATAGGCTTCAGACCATTTGTTAGACATATTGTCGCTGCTGAAGCCCTCGGAACAAATAATCAAACAAATGCAATCGCAAAAATGGCTTATATTCGTCTCGCAGCTCGTTGTGATTGCGGAGAGATATTCCCAGAGCAGCCAGAACAATGGACAAATCTAATTCCAACCCATCCTATTACAGATTTCTTTATTTTCGGAGCTCCTCTTTTGGAATTGATTTACGCTCAAAGAAGGACAGCTCCGAAATGCACAGTTCCTATTTTCATGGTCGATTTCATTAAGGAACTGTTCGAAGCCGGATGTAATACAATGGAAGGAATGTTTAGACTTCCTGGCAACCAATCACAGATAAAACTGATGGTTGATGAAATCCAGGCTGGTCAGAATGTTATAAAAGGCGCAGAATTGGCAGATCTTGCATCACTTTTCAAAAAGTGGCTTGCGGACCTTCCTGAGCCTGTTGTACCTATGTCAATGTATCAGGACCTTACTGAGGCCATAAGGAATCAAACAATATTGGAATTCGTTGAAACTTTACCAAAAGTCAATCATGATACGCTCGGATATTTAATTGGATACTTGAAAGAGTTCATTAAACATGCGGATGTTACAAAGATGTCGATTATTCCTGTTTCGATGATTTTCGGAGCAAATATTGTCAGAATTGTTTCTACTGATCAATACGTACTCAAGGAAATGACAGATAACGGTAAGAAATTTATCCAATATTTGATTTCTAACTGGGATACTAGCTTTATTTACCCATTACCTGAAGATTATATTCCTCATTAATTTATTTTTAGTTTTTCTTTGTTATTATATTGAATAAATGTATTAGATCTTTTGTAGTTTAACTCCCATCATCTTTTTTCGACAAAAATTTTCATCAATAAAAAATAATTGAAAATTTCAAATGAACTAATGCATAAAATTATTAATTTTCGTGTACCATTAATGATTTCCGAGTCGATATGAACTAATATCCAAAATTTAATTTTCATAAAAAAATACCAAATACGAAAACAGTTAGTTAAAGTACAAATATAAATAATAATCAATAAACAAGTAAATGATTAAAATAATATAATAATATATAAAAGATTTCTAAAATGAATTCATATCATGATGAATTCTAATTAAGCACTGGTACTCTTTTGTTGCTAGATCAGTAGTTTCTTCTTTAATAACAGCTTCTGGGTCAACTTTACCGATATGACGAGCGAGAAGTTCACTTTCGTTCATTCCTTCCTCATCAAGGATGGATCTTCTGTAGTCTGGTGAAATTTGAGTCAAAAGATTGATTTGTTCGATACTCTTCTTATCTGATTTGACGAAATTTGGTAGTTCGAATCCATTAACCCATACTTGTCTATTCAGAGACATAAGCATCTGTTGTTCGTAGATATTCATTCGATAAGTAACAGGCATCGAATAATATTGTCTATTGAGGTTTCTCACTAAAGCCTTTGTAGTTGGTTTTTCTAAATGTCCGATAAAAGATGTTGTTTCACGACATTCTTCGCAATTTGAATAAGCGTACTGAGCAATGCATCTAAAAGCACCAATAACGACTTTTCCTTTGACAGATTGAACAGGATCGATAACTACGGCTATGCATCTTTGATTGCTTTTTTCCCATTGCATTTGTGTATTCACATCTACACCAGATAGCCAAACTCCAGTACCTGGGTGAGATTTGTACCAGCCAATTACTTCTTCTGTTCGTGCAATTTTCTTTAAAAGACTGCACATTTGGTTACGATAAGGATCTTCAACTGGAGCGGATCCACCTGTTGGATTTTGGGGCATTGGAAATACATCAACAACACTTACTGTATAATCATCAATAAACCTACCGACGATTAAACCATAAACTTCATTTGGAATTCCAGCTTGAGCGTTTTTAAGCATTTTAAGAAGAGCAATGCCACTAATTTGGACTGTTTCGGCTGTATCAAAATGTCCTTGTGGCATTGTACTCGAATAATCATTGGATTCTTCGGTCATTTGATCTTATTTCCAAAAAGTGACAAATAAATGTGACATAAATTTTTTGTCATTTTAATAATGCAAGGTTTAGATAATCCAAATATGTTTAAATACAAGCCAAAAACTCAACAGGATACCATCATTACGCTAGCCAACGTATATATCAATCTTTCGAAAACCAACCCCACAACAATGCAAAATGAAAATTTCGGGCAGCATATATTCGCTTTGCAGTTTGCTCATAACTTCCTTTCCATTACTATTTACAAACAAGGATATCAACCAGCTGTACAATTCAACATTACAAAATCACTTCACTGGAACTACCAAAACCGTGTTTATTGTTACTTTCATGATGATAGGAGAAATCAGTGGCTTGCTACTTTCCCAGACGCAGCTACTGCTGCTTATGTCACAGCTGAAATTTACTGTTTGACAAAGAATATCAAGACAGATACTCTATTTTATTTAGATATCAACAAAGGACAAGGTAAAGGAATATCTCTGAATGATACCCTTCAAGTATCTTACTTCGTTTTCCCTGTCAGAGACTTTCCAATTTTGGATCGCGAATGTGTTTCAGTCGAGGTCAAAAAAGTCAAATTTACGAAAGAGAACTTTATTTCTGGTATCGCGAATTCGATTTCCGGAATGGTTTCCAACTCAAGCAGACTGATATATGTCCCTCAAGCCTATAAGCCTTACGAAAGCGGCACACCTCATAAGGAAATACCTGCAACAAATGTCATCGTCATGTTTTCTCTACACCACGTCAAATTCGAGGAATCTGAAAATCAATCAGATGCATCTGACTACATTCCAGCTCAGGCAGCAGCACCTCCACCACCAACTGAAAAATCGGATACTGATATTGGCGAAAGCGATGCAGCCGCGGAAGAAGTTATTTACGATAAATTACGAAAACTACAGAAAATGGGCGCAAAGAACGCCATTAATCCAACCGCTGTTATTCCTCCTGCTACTACATCATCTTCATCTGCTTCTGCTGCTCAGCCAACCATCGTAAAAGGTCCATCTACTGCATCTCTCAAGAAACTCGAAGCGAATATAAATAAGCAGATCGATAATATCATTTCTGATCCGAAATCCGCCGATATCGTTACAGGAGTTATCGCAATTGCTAATGAACTCTCTCAGAAGCAGGAAGAGATCACAAAACTCAAAACCGAGCTCCAATCGTTATCGAAACCAGGAGGTGGAGCAAGTATAACCAGGAAACAACTCGAATTTGCAATTTCTGAAGCGGAAGATTTGAAGAAGAAGTCAGATTACACTGAGAAGAAGCTAAAGGAGATGCAAGGAAAGCTCTCTGATGCAGGAAAAGAGAAGTTTGATCATAACGCAGCTAAAGCTAAAGGAAAAACAATAATTAAAAAATTAATGAACGCAATTTTCAACGATGTCAACGAAGCAATAGATCCAGATGCCGAGCTCACAGGAAGTGATGTTAACCAGAAGCTCTTCGAGCTCTTGAGGAAGCATTCATTTGCTGCAATGGAGGACGTTCAAAAGAATGGTCTCCAGTGAAATTTAGTATCTATTTTTTATTATTATATGTTTTATATTAATAAACTTCTCTCGTTATTTACTTCAATGAACCAACAAAATATTTTTTTGTATAATTTCTTGGGTTCTAACGAATTTTCCTTGATATATCATATGTGGATTTCGTAATTAATAGTAAATTTTAGGTGGTTAAAGTTAATATAGCATAACAAGCTCGATCTTATTTCAATTTACGCTAACTACAACGAATGAACATGAATTTTATATGTAATTATTATTTGAATGTATTTTTGTGGAGAACTAGGAGTGAGTCAAAAGGATTGTTGTGATTTTCGATGTTGTGCATGAAAATTCGGTTCACTTCACTTCTGACAAAAGTGATAAGTTTACATGACAGAAATGGTTTACATGGTAAAAATAGTTTACATGGCAAAAATAGTTTACATGGCAAAAATATATAGGGTATTTTTTAAAAGTAGTTATCTTTATATATAAAAATAAAACTTTTGATATATTTGAGTAAATGATTTATTAATTTATTTATTTATTTTTTTAATCAAATCATATAAATATATAAATATATATAATAGTGAGTTAGTACACCCTTGTTGGGTATGGTGGCACTGCGTTCCACCTTACCCAATACTTGTGAATTTGACACTTTACAAAACCACTAACGTACATTTTACAACACGAACGCAAAAACTAACTTAACCTTAAATATTTACAAAACCGCCAACCACTTCACTAACGAACTCACTAATGAAAAAATAAACGTTCTCATAAATTTTCTTCTATATCTTCATCGTCAGTGTTAACTCTATTGTAGTCATACTTGAAGTCATAAAGTTTCTCAAGTTTTGAAATGCATAGTCTTGTTAACTTACCTTCATCATCATAAGTTTTTATAAAACTACCATGACAATCTTTATAAACAGTCAATGTATAGTCAACTGGTCTAGGATGAAGTGTAAAGAACATGTTATGCTCAGGAAGGAAGAATAAATGTTTAAATGTATGTTTGTTATACTGTGGAATTCGAATGAGTTGCTTTTGTTCTGTCATTTACATCCAAATAAAAATTTTCAGTAAAAATAAAACTAACGTTAAAAATTTCTCATAATATAAACGTTCTCATTGCTTTATAACTCTCTTCCTTTCTCCAACTCTTCTAGCTTCTTCTTAAGTTCAGCAATGTTGTCTTCATGAAGTTTAATCTTTCTCAAAATTCCTTCTTTATCTAATGGTTGCTTTATCTTTCTAAACTGAACTCTACCATCCTTCATAGTATGAATGTAAAAACCTTCTGGAATAGTTCCTGATTTAATGTATTCTACCAAAAACTTTTGTTTCATTGCTTCAGTGACTTTAGTCGTCATTTTACTCTAAAGTGAAGCTAGCACAGCGATAATGGATTTCATGACTTTTTAGTATTTCATGCAATCTTAACAGATAGCCTTACAAGTACTTCCAGTGTCCCTAGCTGTCCCTCCTTTTTATATAACTCCATGACATTTATAATCTCGCGAAACTTAACAGGTAGCATAACAGATTAAAATCAGATGAGGTTTTGAACCAAAATTTCTAAGCAACGTTGTCAAGGATTTTGAGGAACTAGGGACAGAGTGTGGCAAAGTCCAAGATTTAATTTATCTTCATCTGTTTCATCATCTATCTCATCTAATATGCCAATATTTTATTCATAACTCGTGGCAAACTCACTAACTTTCATTATGTTCATCTGCATGCTTCATCTGATAGAAAGTATGACTTTCATTAACTCTGTGAGATAATGAAAACTACTAGGGACAGAGACCATGGCAAAGTTCATGATTTAATTTATTCTCTCACTAACAACAAACACAAACTCCAACACTAACATCAAGTACTAACTTCAGCACAAATGACAAATGCTAACAACAAACACAAACTCCAACACTAACGACAAAAATAAATGTCCTCACTTCTTAACAAAGTAATATGTGCTTCTTACACCACCATAGCTCAAACGTTTCTTTTCAAACATCGATTGAAACTTATTTTGAGCCATTGGCTTTAGTCTCTTTTTCTTCAAATACGCCAAGAAATCTTCTTCACATCTTTTCACTTCATAGCCTTCTTTAAACTCCTCCTTGTTAAGTTCTATGAAATCCTTTATATCATTCTTTGTTGCAATGGCTTCTTCACGAACGACATCGTGAACTATTTCATCATTGCATTCATGTATGACCTCCTCACTGTTCTCATGAACTATTTCAACACTGTTCTCATGAACGACCTCCTTACTGTCTTTCATAAGCGTTTCAAAGTCTCCTTTACTCATTACTTCAATCTCATGCTGTTCACAGTAGTACTTAAACTCACTGTATATGTCTTTGTTGTATGTTATATTGCTTCCCATGTACTCCATGAATTTTTCAAGCACTTCCTCATAATTCACTGTTTCTTTCTTTCCACGACCTTCTAATATCATACTTGCTTCGTAAATATAACTTCTTGCAGAACCGTCTCGCTTTCTACTTCTCTTCACAAATTCTCTCATCTTGCCACCAAATACATTTGAACTACATGCAAAGAATTCATTATCCTTCGCAAATTCTTTATATCTTCTGTAGCACTCTGTACAATTCCATCCGGATACAAACTTTTCATAGAACTCCTCGTAAAACATTTGGTAAGGTGTTTTGTTCATTTCGATGAGTTCTTGTTTAGCCCTGGTGAATGGTATCTTCCTTACATCAAATTCACTTAAATCTTTCTTCATGAAGTACGTCAGTAAGTTTGAATAAAACTCTTCATTAAAGCTTTCAATGAGATTTGAGAAATATTCGTAATTTCCTTTGTATCTGCTGCTTACGTCAATGACAACAAATCTTCTGTCGTCTTTGTCAATCTTTACTGAGTTGAAGTTGTTAGATATCATGATGATATTACAAACATTCTCTATCTTTCTTACTGGCTGACACTTCTGATTTAAGTCCAACTGAGTCTCTGTTACTATTGACTTTAGTGCGTCGTGGTTCATGACCTTAGACGTATCGCATGAGCTTAGTTCATTGCATACGATGAGCTTCATGTTCTCAATAGCAGCATTGAATCTACCAACCACATTCTCTATTGCCGTTATATTATTGTTGGCGTACTTGCTAATGAGCTCGCATAGAACATTACTAATACATTCTTACCAGTTCCTTGCTTTCCTGTTAACAAAAGTACTGTTCCAGTCTTTCCACAAGGATTTTGAACGATGTAGGCGAACCAGTTCAAAACATACTCATAAAGCTCTTCATCCTCATTACATATGACATCGTGAACATGTTTCAAATATCCTTCAATAATGCTTTCATCTACTTCATTCAGTACCTCATACTCATATCCTCTGAAATAGCTGTAAATGTCATCTCTTTCGTCAAAGAATCTCATGCCTGACTTCATAAGATAGTTCTTGTTCTGACCCGCTTCATAAATCATCAGTGCGTTCACATCCTTCTCTTCAATACGTCCTACATAAACACTCTTCATGAGCTTATTGAATTCCTTGCTATCTACTGACACAAGTGTTGTTGTGTCTCGTATTCCATCATAATCTTTCACTAGATATGTCATACGTGCTCCGTCAATAACGACAACACATCTTCTTAAGTCATTTATAACACTAGCTATGTCAATACCTTCTTCACTCATGTACTTATTTCTCCTCAAGTCCTTTAGTGTGAAAGTGTCTCTAAGTTCTATTTCAAGCAATTCATTTACACATCCTTTGCAATACTTCTCTATAAAATATTTCTGTCGTTCTTTACTAAGTTTCTTAACAGCTCTGAAGAACCATGTGTTTTGACTCAAACATCCTTCACAACTTCTCTCATTCATTCCTAGTTCTTTCATGTCATTATCTTCAACCTCTATGGTCTCATTGACTAAGGTCAAAGGGTTCTTAGTCATTGCTGGTCTTATCTGAAACAATGTTTGTGCAACAGGTTTAACTAGTTCAGCAACGTCCTTCCTTAATATGAATAGCTGTTTCCACTCATCTTTGCTAACAGTTCTTTCATAACCACTGACAGTAATGATTTCATTTGCTGACCTTAGACGCTTATGTTCTATCATTTGTATTGCTTTTGTGTAAGGCTTTCGTGAGCATAGGTTGTATATGTCATTCCTGCAATGTTCATTCATGCCAATAGTACTAAATCCTTTCTTTGCTGTTGAGTGCATAATATCCATTAGTTCCTGTGTTCGTATTGCTGTCTCATAAAATACAACAAGACCTTTGTCATCTATGACGTACTTACCGAAAACATTGCTTATATTCTTTAACCATGAAATAACATCCTCATTCATGCTGTCAAACATGAAGTAAGGTCTTACATACTCTTCACTTATAAGATACTCCACAAAATACTTGTTAAGCTCTATGTCCTCGTGAGCGATTTCATTAGGTTTGATATTAGTTCCTTTTGTCATTGCTGTCATGTACTTCACTCTCATAGTTCCTTTCAATAGCGTAAAAATACTTCATTGTTTCATAACTGCTCTAAATTCTGTTCAAAATTCGTACAACATAACTTTTTAACATTAGTGAAAGAACATGAGCGAAACAACAACATCTAACATTACAGAAGAAGTCAATGACAATGCCGATGAAAACATTACAGAAGGAGCTAGTGAAAATATTGACGAGTTCAGTGAGGAAGAAGATATTGAAGACGTCAATGAAATTAGTGGGGAACAAACTCAATGGGAAACATTGAGAAATCATGAAGATTATGAGATTTGTACGACATATCCTTTTACTATTCGTCGAAAGAAAGACAAACATATTATGAGTGAATGCTTAAATAATTATGGTTATATTGTGCTTAGTTTAAACAACAAAATGCATTTAAAGCATAGAATTATTGCAGAACAGTGGATTGAAAATCCAAACAATTTGAAAGAAATAGACCATATAAATCATGATAGAACGGACAACAGAATCTCAAACCTTCGTTGGTGTTCTAGATCTGAAAACAATAGAAATAAAAGCAAGTATGGCGATATAGTTTATGAGTTCGTTGATGAAATATCTGACGAAGCTGTTGAAATAACAGATTATGGTAAGCATTCGTTTGAGTTCTACTACTATGTTGAGAATGAAGACGCATTCTATTATTATACAGGTCCTAACTATCGAAAACTTCATATAAACTTTACAAAAACATGTGCTGCTTATGTTTGTATGATAGATACAGAAAACAAGAGTGTAATTTTATTCATAAACAAATTCAAACGCTTGTACGGCTTCATGTAGGACAAACATTATTTTTCAACACTAACGCCAACACTTAGGACAAACATTCATGACTAACATTACTGTATAACATAGACACTAACTTCATATAGAACCGAGCAACTTTCTAAATGTCGACAGCCCCTAGCTCAGTGGTATGGTACAATGAAGATATGGTGTGAAGGTCGCGGGTTCGACTCGCGAGGGTCTCATGTTTGGTATTATCTTGTCAACTTTCTAACTGTCGACATTCTTCCACTTGCTTCAAACACTAATGAACGTGTCAAAATGAGCGTAAAACACTTCGTCAAGACTTCATCGTAAACACTTTGTCATGAGTTCTTCGTAAATGCTTTGTTATGACTTTGTCAAGACTTCTTCGTAAATGTTTTGTCAAATTATACGTAAATGACCCAAAAATTATGTTGAGGTGAAGTAGTGCGAACTCACCTGTTTTTTTACATGTTTTCTCACCTCAGAGACTTCATGTCAAAACTTCATCGAAACTAAACATAAACACTTTGTCAAGACTTTGTCGAACTTAAACGTAAACACTTTGTATAAACTTCTTCGTAAACACTTTGTCAAGACTTCTTCGTATATGTTTTGTCATGACTTCTTCGTATATGCTTTGTCAAGACTACATGTCGAAATGAGTGTAAATGACTAAAAAATATTATTTAGGGTAGATAGATCTACCACGATTTCTACCCTCAGAGACTTCATGTCAAAACTTCGTCGTAAATGTTTTGTCAAACTGCATCGAAACTAAACATAAACACTTTGTCAAGATTTCATCGTAAATGCTTTGTCATGACTTCTTCGTAAACACTTTGTCATGACTTCATCGTAAATGTTTTGTCAAGATTTCATCGTAAATGCTTTGTCATGACTTCTTCGTAATGAGCGTAAATGATCCAAAATAATGTTTATGTTAGCATGTTAGATCTAACATGTTTTCTCACATGTTTTCTAACATCATGAATTTGAATGTGTTTGCTCAGAAGCTTTGAGAAGTAAGCCATCAGACATGAAAGAAAAAACATTTCAACTTCAGCTGAAAGACAAATGCGAATGCATACAGAGAAGGTAGATGGTTCTACGTACTGAAGAAGAACTTACTGAGGAACTCAGTGAGGATATGATTTAAAAAGTTCTTGCTTTATTTTTGCTGCTGTCACTGCTGTCACCAAGTGTCACCATATAAAATGAACGACAGAAAATTTACTGCGCGCGCACGCAATGACGCACGCATCGCTGCAAACACTAGTGAAAAAGGTACTGTCTCTTTTATGAGATAGTTTGTGTTTGTCATAGCTGTATCAAAAGAGATGCAGCTTCATTTTCATTGAAACAAAGCAACTGTCGACATTCTTCCACTTGCTTCAAAACACTAATGAACGTGTCGAAATGAGCTTAAAACACTTTGTTTTATGGGTGAGCCTCGAATGGCTCAGCATGTTTTTCATTGACTTTCATGCAGAAACATACATGTCGAAATGAGCTTAAAATACTTTGTTTAGTGGTTGAGCCACTAATGGCTCGACCATATGTCAAAAAGCTAATGCAGGATTTCATGAAGAAGTCATGAAAATATTGTTTAAGTGAAGTAGTGCTATCTCACCTAGTTTCTCACATGTTTTCTCACCTCTTTCAAAATCATTGAAATCATGAGCTAACAACATAAATGCTTTGTCAAGACTTCATTAAAACCAAACATATACACTATGTCAAACACAAACACAAACATATACACTATGTCGAAATGAGCTTAAAACACTTTGTTTATGGGTGGTGTCTAGAATGGCACGACCGACATCAGTCAAATAATGACCAACATAAGTGAGTTACTGACTGACGTCAGTGAGGTACTGACCGACGTCAGTGAAGTCTTGAATGATATCAGTAAAGTACTGAATGACATCAGTAAATTGGAGGTTGTGAGTCATTGAATTTTAAGGTTTTTGAGAGAAGTCTTGACTTACGTCAGTGAGTTACTGACCGACGTCAGTAAAATTTTATCGTCATACTTTACATAACAGACTTACATACGAAACTAACTACATGAACTATTTGTCAAACATAAGCGATGTGTCGAAATGAGTGTAAATGACCTCAACATAAATTCCTTCGGTCAGTCAGTCAGTCAATGAAATTACATACAAAACTAAAACATGAACTAACTAACATAAATGAATGTGTTGAATTAAGCATTAAATGCAGCTTATTGTTATGATGTTATTTCTAACACCTTTTCTAACATGTTTTCTAGCATGGAGGATTTCATTGAAAATGAATGAACTTTATGTCGAAATGGGTGTAAATGACCTCGATATAAACGTAAAGACTTTGTCAAACATAAACGTAAACACTTTGTCAATACTTCATCGCAAACACCTTGTCAAACATAAATGTAAACTCTATGTTAAACATGAACTAACCAACATAAACGAATGTGTCAAACATAAACGTAAACACTTTGTCAATACTTCATCGAAATGAGCTTAAAACACTTTGTCAAGACTAAACATAAAGCAAACAAGCAAACAAAACACAGCGAAAGGATTTTGGTCAAGAGTTCTCATGATGAAGAGATAGAATATGTTTCAAGAGGAAATGAAGCCATTTATGATGAAAATAATGTATTGTCATCTATGAGTCAAGTATTGCTGAATGTTTCCCTTCATTTCTTTATAAATTATTCTTTCATTTATGATTTCATTAGATATACACATTCTTCCTTCATTTCATTCTATACACAATTTACATCATTGACGATTTAATAGATATAATACTTTACTGTTTCATCTGATATAAACATTATTTGGTGAAAGTATCCTAAAAATATTTGATGGACTTTAACTAAAATAATCATTAGGAGGATTACGGTTTTTTAATCCTCCTTTTTTTCTAAAAAAATCCTTGTACTTTTGGTACTTTCGTACTCTAAAAATATCATAAAAAATTAACTTGAGCTTAAATGCATCCGCAATGAGAGTGCTTACATCAGAAATGAAATCACAGATTTTCTCATTAAGCATAACATAACTCACTACACTACTGAAGACCATAACCATAACATACTCGGTATCATAAACCGCTTCATAAGGACACTAAGAGATTTAAATCAAGAGCGAGACTTTACCGAAGAAACAATGAAACATTTTCTCGAAGTATATAATTCCTCAACGCATTCTACAACAGGACATACACCAAATTCAATGACACAACAACAAGAAGAAAAGTATATACAAAAGAAACGAAGTCAAACACAAAATATCAGAAATTCAACACAATTTACCCTCATTCCTGGTACAAAAGTTCGTGTAGTTCTTGACGACAAACTGTTGACAAAGAAACGTTTAAGGTTAAGTAGAAACTATTATATAGTAGATTCAACGCAAGGTAATGGATATCTTATAAAAGCTGCTGACGACTCTATTGCGTTTTATCCTTGACATAAATTAGTTGAAAGTAGTAATGGCAAACTTGCTGAAGCCATCGACGAAGCAAAGCGAGGAGTGGTTATTGAAATACTTGGCTATAACACAAACGATGACACTTATAAAGTAAGATATGAAGGAGGCGTTGAAGATGTTATACCATCTAAGAACTTGAGAGAGTCGAAGCCAACACATCTGGGACCATTAGAGCGGGAGTACTGGAAAGACAAAAATATGCCAGAAAGAATAAGAAAATTCTTCTAAACTTTTTCATTAGATGTAAATCAGACATGAACGAGAACAGTCATGATATCATTAATGGTACCATTTATTTTAACATAAATGAACAAAAATAATTTTTAGGGTAGATGGGTATTTATACCCTCATTTCTACCCTCATTTCTACCCTCGTGAATTTTCATGTATTTTCTCAAGATAGAAAAAATAACGCTAGTTTTATTTTTTTCTAACTTTTTATTTTGTATAAAAGATATGATTTCAACAATCGGCACAACAACAATTCAAGCCGCGAACGGCGGGACTCTGTCCACAACAACAGCACCAAACTTGTTAGTCATGAATCCAACATCTATGTTAGTAGAGATGAAAAACTTCATTCCTTCTTCATATAGTTTTGGAACAGAAATACAAAGAATAAAGCAAGAACTTTTAACAAGTAATTTAGACTGTACCGCACAGGATGAAGAAAATGAAGAATATCTTTATGACATGCAGGAAATTATTGACCATTTACCCAAATTGCCTGAAATCCAGCAACAAAAGCTCACTATTCCTGAATTCGATGAAATAGAAGTGAAACCAACTGACTCAGTAGAAATAAAGAAGTTCATACGTAAAGTAAACTATGAGTTTCTAGGATATCATTGCAACCATAAAGTTATGGCCAAAGATTGCGACATGGTATATAAGAACATCTCTGACATATATAAATCGGAGGAGTTTAAGACATACGACAACTTTGTTTCATTAGTTGCAAAATGTGTATGGCAGATAAGAGATAAAGATAGAAGAGGTAAAGTATGGAATGGACAAATAAAACCAGCAGCTTTTGAGTTAAAGAAAACCATTGACGCCTTAGTTGTTATAGCAGGTCAAATTTCAAGGTATAACGCAAAAATGAATCCGCAATGTTCTAAATGTAAAGCAGCAATGAGGAAATATAACTACTCCGTCAAAGAGATAGAACGTATGAGAAACGACTATGCTGACTTAAAGAAAGAAGCAGAGAAACCAGCAGAAAATAAAATGGACATGTTAGCATTTCTGAACAAAAACTATCCAACTGCTGACGATTTCCTTCTATCTGACGTCAAGAAGAAGTATAAAGAAACCTTCGGCATTGTTAAAACTTTTGATATCCTCAGCGAAGAAATAGAAGCTACGAAGCTGTTTAGAATCTCACGAATTCATAACAATTAGCTTAATTAAACCAGGTACAAGATTATATAATTGTATTTTCTATCCAATTATCCATATAATATCTTATCCAGAAAAAATAACTTGATCAATACCAAATGATTTTTTAACTAGTAAATAAAGTATTTTCTTTACACACACATTGTATATCATAGTTTTTTTTTTGGTTTCGCAAAACATCCAAAAACAAATATGCTATAAAAGTGACAATTTTAGCAAAACGAAACCCTTAATATATATGAATTTGACTTCGAAATAAAAATTCAAAGTGCCACACGAAAGTTACAAAATATCGATGGATTATTATTGATTATATACTTACTTTGAATACATGTTTTTGAGTAGGAATTGATTTTTGACAAGTAAAAAAATTGACATTCAAAAGAACATGAATGATTTACTATCATATTTAGAACAAATTTTATTAAGAAAGGGGTTCTCGTTTAACGTACATTTTTTCAATTATAAGCCATTCAAAAATCAAAATCTTAAAATTGAGAATGTGTATTAAAATGCCTATTAGAGACAAACAATAACTTTGAAATTAGAAATTATTTTCATTAATTTTTATCGGTCTACTAGCGCAACATGTCGAAGATCCCGCACAAGATAGGCCCATACATTCTGAGAGGTGTTATAGGTGAAGGTGCGTTTTCACATGTTGTACTAGCATTTCATGAGACACAAAAAACTTATTACGCATGTAAGATTGTTCCAAAAGCTCGACTTTCAAGTAGCTCGTTAGAAGAAAGATTTGAAGAAGAAATAAGAATTAACCAGCAGCTTCATCACCCCGGCGTAGTCGGATTAATCGATATTATTAAAGACGAAACAAACTACTACGTAGTTATGGAATTCTGTCCAAATGGTGAGCTATTCCAGTTCATTGTTGATCGCGGACGATTAAGCGAAGCTGAAGCTAAACCGAAAATTAAAATGATATTAGATACAGTTAGATACTTACATTCACTCGGAATTTCGCACCGTGATTTGAAACCAGAAAATATACTTCTTGACCAATACGGAAATCCAAAAGTTAGCGATTTTGGATTATCGCGGTTTGTTGGTCCAGACAATCTCGTATCAACTCCATGCGGCTCTCCATGTTATGCATCGCCAGAGTGTATATCTGGCCAAAATTATAACGGCTTAACAAGCGACGTATGGAGTTGTGGAGTTGTTTTATTCGCCATGGTAACAGGACAACTTCCATGGACAAAGAGAAATCAATCTCAACTATTTGAACAGATTAGAAACGGTGACTATACCATTCCAAACTTCCTTTCGGTTCAATGCGCTTCATTAATTTCGGGTTTAATGACAGTCGATAGCGAAGAGCGCCTTACAGTAGAACAAGCGCTTCATCACCAGTGGCTTATACAGACTCCTAATTTGGAAAGTGCTTCATTTGTTGCACCTTGCATTTCAATGAAGAGAATAGATGACTTCTTCGATAAATCTGTATCATCATTAAGACTCCCGGCTACAATGCAGAGAAAGATTTCTTGCGACGCTTTCTCATTCGAATCTACTTTAAGGCAAATAGGAGTTAATGAGCCAGAAGTTAAAGTTAGAAAGAAAGTTAGAAAAGTATTATGTAGAAGATCAGTTAAAATTGAAGAACGACCAGATATTGAACAGGAAGTTCATCAAGAAAAACGTATCAAGAAAATCAAGAAAAGGATAACAAAATACAAGCCTCAAGAGGTTATTGAGGCATGAATTTCTTGTTTTTGTATATAGTTCTTAAATTAAATGTATTTTTATGCATAATAAATCAATACAATTGTTTTTGATACGAGCTATCGTGTTCCATACATATGTGCTCATGAATTTTTATCTCAAATGCATTTTTAAAAGGAATATTAAAGACAAAAACTATATTTATTTTTTATGTTCAAGAATAAGTTTGCGATATACGATTCTTATAGTAACCACAAGCATATTGTGTAATATAGAATTCTGATAAGAAATAAGATCAATCTTAGGGAATTAACTATTTTTGATGGATGATATTTATTTGGGAAGATGTTACCATGATCGCAGATGGATATTTTGCGATAAAATAAAAATGAGTATAAATTGCTCTGTCACTTTTATTTTTGTTATGGATTCTAAAATCTCTTTAAAGTCTGAAGTTGATTACTTAGAAGGCCTTGCAAACTATCTTTCTCTTCAAATTGTTGAGCATGGTGGAGAGCTGGATTTTGATGTTACAAAACCTCTTTCTTCTGATCTTCTTCGCCAGGCCATTGATAACATTAATAAATTTGTTAAAAAGCCAGAAGAGGATGAAGAGCATCCACCAACAAAAGCAATTATCGAGTAACAGTGATTCTTTATTGTTCGCTTTCATCGGAAAATTTTCTGATCTTTTTTCTATCGAACTAATACTAAAATTTTAGGATTGAAGGCATGTATGGGACAAAAACAATTCAAAACATACTATCACTCTGTTCAAATTAAGTTCATAACCAAATACAAAGGCAAAAGATTGTTTCCGCATCTCATCTGCTTTCGTTAGTTCCCAATTACCTTATTTATGTTTATAGAATTTATTTTATTTGTTTTTTGTTTCGAATATTAGTAAAATGTTTTATATTATCTTTTTACATTCATCAATTCTTTAAGTTTATGTGCTCCATTTAATTGTTAATTTTATATCTGCGGCATCTGTTAATCCTGAAGTAACATATGATAAAAAAAAATAAATGAGCAAACGGAAATTGCTTAAAAATCGATAAATTTCATCTTAAAATTGTAGCCATAGATGTGAATCAGAGTACTTTTGATTTATGATTGCGAACTCTTCGGAGATCGCTCTATTGATTTAATCATCGTCAGCGTTTACTAGTAACACATTGAAATTTCACATTCCTTTTGTATGACAAATGCTATTTTGATGTTGTACAATATAATTTTCTTATATTTTTTGGTTCATTCAACTGTTATAGACCGAAAATAGATTTTTTCGGTTTTCTCTTCAAATAATTGAAAGAATGATACTATTATAGGTTTATTATATTATATAGCATATAATCATGCTATAGCCGAAAATTATAAGTTTTGAGAAGATTGAATATAACACAAATAAATTTGAATGTAAGTTAAATTGCTTGTTGTTTTTAATAGCTATTTAATGAGAAATCCAATATTGCAAAATTCAAATTGAATGATTGAAAGAACAGAAAAAGTCATTCTTTTCAATTTCGAATATGTTTCATTGTATTTATAATTATATGGCAAATAAGATATTTAAACTTGATTTTTGAAGGAAAATTCACAAAATTGAATAAATTCAAATAATTTTTATTCAAAAATAAACTAGTTATTTGAGTTTAATACTAATTATCTATTCAAACTACAAAGTTTGTAATTTAAAGTATTTTGTGAGATCAGATTGAATTAATTCAAGGTTCTTTTCAATTAATATTAATGACCATATTACGCATTTTCGAACATTCTAAACCAAATATATAAAAATGGGAGACGAATGTTAAATTTGCTAGACATAAAGAAGTTGTTTACCGAGTTTTAGCTCTTATCTCTAACAAAAAATTAATTTTTAAAAAAAAGACCGAATACGTTTCACAGCGAGAAAAAAATAAAAGGCAAGATAGAATTTTCTAGACATAAAGAAGTTGTCTACCAAGTGTCAGCTGTTACTTCTTCTCAATACTGATATAAAATAAAAATCTTTATTATTTATTTAACCTTTATTGTTTCATTAAACTTCATTTATTTTATATTATAGTTTTATTCTTTTAGCTACTTGTAAAATAATCTAATTTTATATCATCATTTTACCGGATTATTCTTCAGTACATCGATTGTGTATCTAAAATAATATCATTATCCTTATTCTGTTTTTTCCAAAATTCTTTTAAATATCTTTTTTGGTTAGATTACTTTATACTTTTTACTTTTATTTTTTAATTTCAAAAAAAAAAGAATTTGGTGATTGTTCTATTCTGTTACAATGTGCATTATCATATTCTAATGAATTATTCATTACATACATTTAAAAAAACTTGTTAAAAATGAAATTAAAAATTATGTTTATTATTACGCTGTGAATGTGTCAACAGCGGTCATGCCTGTATCTGTATCCCATATTTGCCACAACCTTTCTGTATCTGCATTTGTGTATTTCGGTTTCAGCTGATACATTTGATTTGGCGTGTAATTTGTTCCAGTTAATGGATTAATTGGGAGATCTTCATGCGGTGTGTTATTATTGTACTCCTAAATAAAGGCAGGAATAGCCTGAATGCTTTGGCAGCGCTCCAATGTCGGCCAGAATCTCTCAATCTTCCCATTTTGCTAGGGAGAATGAGAGTCTGTATGCCGCCATTGGACGCCCCAAAGATCAAGTAGATCTTGAAAGGCGCCCCTATTTTCTGAACCGTTGTCGGTCCAGAAAGTTAGTATACATATCAAGGGTACGGCGGCACTGCGCGCCTCCTTACCCATGATATGTGAATTTGACACTTTACGAAACCGTTAACATATATTTTGCAACACAAACGACAACACTAACTTAACCTTAAATATTTACAAAGCCGCCAACCACTTCACTTCACTAACGTTTTCACAAACGACTTCACTAATGTAAAAAATAAACGTTCTCACTTACAAAAGTATTGCAACTCCTCCCATTGCTGTGCTTCATATAACAGCTCATAATCTTCTGACTCACTTTCTTCTTCATATAGGTCAAAATCACTGTCATAGTTTATACCTGTAAGTTTTGACAAAGCTAATGAAACACGCTTACCGTTTGTATCATATGCTTGTATAAACTTTCCATTATGCTTGTAGTCATAAACGCTCAAACTAACTTTACCTTTTCTCCCTCGTATCTGATAGAATGTATTTTCACGAGGAACGAAGAACAAATTCTTGAACTCATGACCGTTGTAGTTTGTTATCTCAATAGTTTTCGTCATTACATCCAAAATAAAAATAAAATATAAAAATAAAATATAAAAAATAAATGATATCACTACCCTCACACGTATGAAAACATAGTGCAAAAATAAATTTAGGGTAGAAGGTTAGATCTAACCTCATTTCTACCCTGTTGAATTCATTGCTTTATAACTCTCTTCCTTGGTTTCTTTTTAGTTGCTTTCTTCACGTCTGTCTCCAACTTGACTGTCTTTCTTCTTCGTCCGTAATGATACCAGTTACTTCCACCAGTCAATGGGTCAAATGGTCTTTCGTAAGGGTTTCCATACATTCCATAGGGACCATACGGAAAAACTACTGGTGGAGAAGAAACATTTTCTTTAGTTCCATCGACTCTATTTAAATGCATTGTTTCACCTTTCATCTGGTCATTAAAGTCTTTTGCGTGTTTTGCAAACTCATCGTCCTTTCCTAAAGCATTTTCTGACTCAGTCGCAACCAAATTGGATGCTTTATTTATGAGCCCTATTTTATTTAATCTTAACTTCTTTGCAACCCAGCCTCCAATCTTCCCTTTATTTGCATCTAATGTCTTCGAAACCCTTCCTCCACTCATTTTATTTACTGCGTCATAAGCTCCAAGTGCTTTTGCTCCAAATGCTAATGCTTTTGTTCCCATTGCGCCTAAAGCTGCCCAAGCTACCATTTACACCATATTAAAATCATCTCTCTTCAATATTATCTCATAAAAGTTCTCGTTACTGGAGAAAGTCAATGAAACATAAACGTTCTCACGGGCTTCGCCCTCACCGCTTTGCGGTCTATCTAACTTCTTTCTTATATCATCTATACGCTTCAAAATGTCTGAACAATTGCTAACATCTTCTACAACAGTTATTTCATCATGAATGACTTTCAAGAACAAGCTCATTTAATATGCTATTAAAATCATCTCAATAATGAGTCCATCCTTTCCATCTTTAGGTAGCACAACATCTTTCATTGAAGAAGGTTCGACAAGTCTTATGTTAAACTTACTGACAAAGTTTGTTATACTATAATGCTTCGGCGGCGAATACATGTAGTTTGAAAGACATAATATAGATTCTTCAGCAAATTCACTTATACTGGATTTTATAACAATGTTCTCACGAGACCAAATACCACCAATTGACAATCTTGTAAGCAATCCTGCTGAACCTTCTACTGTAAACGTCGATGGTAACATTCCACGAAGGTCATCTATTGACATCTTTGAGTCACTGAATTTAAAGATTTTCTTAAAGCAATCGTCATTATCTAACCATGCAATAGCTTTGAAGTTTTCATTCGAATATACATCTGCTTCATTAAATGTAAAACCTGACTTCTTTGCAGAGATGACTTTAAAATCTATTGAGTTGGTTTCAAAATTATATGCTATGGTAACTTCTGAAGGTAATGGATGCTCTTCCGCAGTCAGTTGTTCTCTCACTACCGTTTGAAGCTTTGCGTTAAAAACTTTCATGTCATCTCCTGTGTCTAGGTTCACATACACAGCAACAGGAAAACTATCTTGCTTCTTTGTTTCATCATTATATCTCAAAACATTAAAGTTCTTCAATAATATTGTTTTCCTGCTGGAATACTTCTAACTTGTCTTATTTCAATAGCTTTCTCACCTCCTACATACTCTACCCAGTGTCTTGGATATTCATAAGTATACTGACTTTCTTGAATTTTGGTAGGTTTCATCATAACGTGTTCATAGTATATCTTTATACTCTTGTCAGTTAGACTCGGTGCTATGTTCTGAATATTTCTGACTTGCATTTTTAATGGAGATAAAATGAAGCATTTAATACATGATGTAGATGAAGACATGAATGAAACTACAGACAAACTTAACTCTTCTCTTATTCTTCCTTTCAGCAAAGATTATGAATTCTGTTCAAATGGTGTGTATTTCTATTGTGGAAAGATGGGTTCAGGTAAGACATTTAACCTCATCGTCATATACTCATAACAGAGCGTTTAGGAAACGACTCTTACTATGACCAAATCATTATATCAGCAACTTCAGACTCTATGGATTCAACAGCGAAAACATTTATGTCAAAAGTTCAAGCCTCTGTCGTTAAAGTTCCAGACAGTGAACTCATTGAATTTCTTCAACGTTACATTCGACGTAAGAGGAAATATATGCCATCGTAGAGTCATACAGTCAGGAATGCAAAAGACTTCTGAGGAGATGGAAAGAATTATTGACAAACACCACTTACGTCAATACTCAGGGTTTACGATATGAAACGACTTACAAACTACATTCTATCAAACTTTCAAAATACCCTTCAAAAAGTATCCTTCAAACACTCTGCTCGTTGTGTGACGACTTCGCCGGAAAAGTTTAGTGTCAAAACCAGACTCACCATTAGCTAACATCATAACTAAAGTCAGACATTACATTAACTGTAGCAATACTTATGCAAACATGGAGGTTTTTAGCTTTAAACATAAAACGTCTCATAACTGACTTCGTTATCTTTCAAGGTTTCTCACGTTATGATATTGAACTCATTTGGAAACAGTCAGGTATAACATACCTTTTGAAGAAATTTGGGAAGCATATAAGTCTCTCATCTCTCCTCGTTCATACCTTGAGATTCATATCATGACTAATACCATTAAAGTCAAAAATATTCCATGGAAACGACCAACATTGTTTTAAAGTTTAACCTTCAATTGACTGATGGAACAAATTCCATGCATCTCTGTCGCCATTTCTGTTAATATTTTTGCTGTCATTCATATCATCCACTTCCCCATCCGTTAGCTTTTGAGGATATGCGTTAGAATAGCTGTTCTTAAATGAAGGCATTTCACCTTTGAGAGCATAAACTCTATAACTTTCTGCATACTTTATGTTTGAACCTCCTGAGCCATCATTGACATAAATTTTTATAGGCTTCCACCCTTTGTTCATGTTCCTGCTTCTTCCTTAGCTCTTTTGTTCAGTAGTTCTACATCTTTATACACAGCACCTGTCTCAGTGAATTCAACAATATTTTCATCGTTAGCTTACATTCAAACCCTTGTCGAGTATATTTTCATTCATACATATAAAGGGTTTTTATTCTATATGAAATGAGAAGCAAATCCATCTTAGCTGGTGCCGTTAATGTTCCAATTGAACCAACATCAAATGTTGACTCACGAAACGACAAACAATATTGTCATAAAGAACTATAGTTCAGAGTGTTTGAAAGAAAAAGAACCAGAACTTAAGTCGGGACCTTCGGTCTTGGAGCATGGCGCCGTGAATTTAAACACAGCTTCAAACGCTAACGCTACATCAGATGTTAAGTTAGAGTATCCACCACTGGACCAAATTCTTTCAAGAGAAGCCAACGACAACCCTTACACAAATGTTCAAACAAATCCTTCAGATAACGTAGACCATTACCTTCTTCAGTTATACCAAACAATTTACTCAAAGACGATAAGAAGCTTTTGACAAATCTTATAAGTAAGAACCAAATAATTCTAACAAAGGAGGACCTTGAAAATGTTATCTCACGAATAACAGGGAAACAATGTGTCATTGACTATCTCGACCCTGAAATCGAATGCTGTGGTCAAACTCCACTATTCATGAAAATAGGTAACATCCGCATCATTGAAACACCAGGAACTACAGGAGTTGAGTTTAAGTATAAATATTCGAATGAATATACAAAACTTTCAACAGAATATAAACTTTGTTTGAAATATGTTTTAGTAAATTAAAGCAATTTGTAATATCTATCCAAAACTTCTTCAACAGTATCGAACTCATCTTCATAATGCAAACCTAATCTTATTGACTTGGTGCAGTTTTCACTAACACAATATTTTTCTGTTCTCTTGACTGACATAACTAACTCATATGTTTCATCAAACAGCAACAACCAAAGTTCATGACCTAATACATAACATTCATACTTTATATTTTTAGCTCTGAGTTCTCTTGTAAGCTGTTGCATTTAATATTTTCTAAAAAGTCAACTTCAACAGTCATTCGCACTAGTGCCTTCAGTTCTACAGGCTCTCCTTGAAAGTCAACAAGTCTGAATTGCATGTCTTTCAAATTATGAGGACTAATGCGAACCCATTTACCTAAATGAGTTGCTATGACAGGAACGTTTGGAATGAACATTGAATTGACTGCATAACAGAAGGATTTATATTCTACTGAACCTTTACTATTAACTCCTGAAATACCTGTGACATTAGCTATTTTAGACTCAATGTACAAACAATTGCCATAACATACGTATGGAACAGATTTCATCTCAATCGTTTTGTCAACACTTTTCAAAGGAAATGTCATATGGTATGCTCCCAGAAGCAATTGAACTCTATGACTCATTCGTGTTATCTTAAACTCCTTCGCATAACTGAACTTCAATGTTCCTTCAGAAGAGAGTTCGACATCTATGTTGTCAATAGTTTCTTCATTTATGAGAGTATCTATGACTCCAGCAATTTTATCTATTCTATACCCAGCTCTGTTAGGAAATGTTATAACACTTCTTTTGTCATCTATTTCAATCTCTATGAAATCTGTTTCATCTGTTATGACAAAAGTTGCGATAGTATTGAAGTCAACAACTCTGAAAGCAAGCGCTTCATTCTGAAGACCTAAGTTTGTTTGTAGCTTTACTGTCCCGTATTCGTTTGGGTCTGTACTTTGCAAATAGAACAACATTTTATTCTCATTAAAATATGACTATTGCTGCATATGCGTATGAAACAAATGAAGCAAGAAGAGCACTTGAACTAGTAAACGAAAACTCAACTTTAACCATTGAAGGCAATGATTTAGTCATTGACGATGGAAAAACTAAAAAAGTCATTGATTTCGATACTTTTAACACTTATGACCCATTCATTACAATAAGTAAAGTTCCCATCATAAATGATGGAACGGTGCAATATATAAATTCTACAGTAGATGCCTCATTAGTGAAAGTACTGAATGTTCTCATTGAATTGTTAAAGAGCTTTCGATTTGACGACAACATTAAATGCCTAAAGAATTTAGTCATGAATGAGAAACAAATTCTCGGCGTTGCTGGTAGCAGTAATGATGTACACCTTATGACATTAGAATATTATAACGAACATAAAGATGAACTGAAAGGAGAGAAGGGTGACACCGGACCTCAAGGACCACAAGGAATACAAGGAATACAAGGACCTCAAGGCGAAAACGGTTTGGATGGTGAAGATGGAAAGGATGGAAAAACTGCTAAATCATGGATATGGAACCTTATAAATACTGGTTTAACAGCTGCTTCATATGGAGTTCTTCAATACCAAATCGGAAAGATATGGGCAGTACTTGGTGAAGAAGTTTTAGATGACGTTAAAAATGCTTTGAACTTCATTTCAAATGGTTCGGATACTATTAAAACTTTATCTGGTTGGATGCAAGAAACAAGGAGTCAAATAGATACTGTAAGACGTATAGCAAACAATGCACGTACGGGATTGGATACTTTACGAGAAGCACAAAATACACTAAAGGAAGCAAATGATATTCTTGGCTCAGTATCAGACATGCATGAAGATTGGCTTAAAGGTATTGACAAATCTTTAAAAAATCACAGTCAGTCTATTGCTGACTACAAGAAAAGTATAGATTTTTTACATAGTGCTATGGACGTACATGATGGAAGCATAAGGAACTTACTTAATGCTAACAATAACTTACCAGGAACTATTAAAGCATTTATAAAGTCCTTTGTAAAACCTGGTGCTCTAACATTTAGGTCTTTGAGAGCAAGAACATTGAAGTCAAGAGATGCAGAAACTCCAGAAGAACCACCAAAACCAACAGCTAATGAAATATTGTTCGAATATTTTCCAAGGTACTCTGTTCTCATTGCATACATTCAAGAAATACTTAAGAACGCAGACTTGACTTTAGGAGATGATGAAAGTTCTGTATATCTTTCGTTCCAGTTTCAAATAGCAGAACTTTTGAGACAGATATGCTTAATGTATGACAACATCTCTGATTTCGCAAGATATGATGACGACCATGACCCCGAACACGGTGAAGAAGAAGTTTTACAAACATCCATTAAGACAGGAAAGGTTTTAACTCAAAGTCTCATTATTGACACCAAAGATGGCGAAGTGGACGTTCTTCAAGAGCTGAAGAAAAATACTTCTTCGGGAGGTGGTGGTAGGCATGAACTTGAAATAAATGAGATAGAAGAGAAATTAGCCGAAAAGGCAGATAAAAACCATGTTCATTATATAAGTTCAGACGAACAGATTATAACGGACTACCATGGATATTTAACACAGGATGAACAAATAAGCACTGAAGATGTTAATGAAAGAAGATATAAATTCATTCGTGCTAAAGGTTATGACATACGCTGTACTGTACAGTATGACACAGGTAAAGCACCAGAAGCATTTGGTTATAACGATGAAATTTATGCTTCATACTTCTTTGTTAACGGTGTATTAGTTGAACCAAGATTTACTTTGAGAGTTAAGGCAAAAATAACTTTTGAAGATGCTATTAAAAGTAAAGCTGACAAAGATGAACTTGACGCAACGAACAAAGTTTTGAAATCTCATAAACACAATATCTCCGATATAAATGAACTTCAAGCTACATTAAATAGTAAAGCTGACAAGAACCATACACATAAATCCTTCACTACTGTTAGAGCAGACGACATAATACTGAACTATGATTTGGGTTCAAGTGCACCTTTAGAGAATCCGAGTACAAGCGTAAAAGATACTCTTAACAATTTAGATAACAGATGTATGAACATTGAAGGTCATGCCAGAAACTTTGAAGCATATGAACTACCAGCAATGTTAGATAAGAAAGCTGACAAAACAGAGCTTCAAACATTAAAGACTGAAATACTTCAAACCATATATCCTGTTGGTTCTATTTATACGTCAATGAATTCAACAAATCCAGCAACAGTTTTAGGTTTTGGTACGTGGCAGCAGATTGTAGATAAATTTTTATACTGTGCTAACTCTTCAAAGCAAACAGGAGGTTCGAAGAAAATTAAAGAAGCAAACTTACTCCCACACACTCATACAGGAACTACAAACTTTTCTGGCGACCATAGCCACTCATTAAGAGACCACCCATTATACAACTCAGAGTATGAAGCTGGCAATGACGTTTTATCTCCATCTTATAACAATGCAGCAAAAAAGATTTTTCGACCAACTGAACCAGGAGGAAATCATGTCCATACTTTCACAACAAATCCAACAGGCTCGGGTAAAGATTATATGCCACCATTTGTGACTTTATTTGCTTGGTACCGCATTCAATGAACGCGCTTGAGCCTAGAATAAAATCTTTAACTTTACATAAATGAGCTTGAAAGAAGTATTCGAACAACATCCATGGAGGTCATTTAAGAAGTTCAATGAAGCTGCAAAGAGTTGGGGATTTACTAACAGAGCTGAAGTGAAAAGGTTCTTTGACAAAAATGTTGTACATCAAACAAAAATAAACCCTTACGACTACTTTTTACCAATTTACTCCAACGCTCCTGACGCATACCAATTTGACACTCTCATTCAAAGCAGAAAAGGAGGATATAAACCATTCCTCATCTTCATTAATGTTAACACTCGCAAAGCATATGCATATCCAATGAGGAATAAAGGAACTCATGAAGTTTTAAGAGTTTTGCAGACGTTCGTGGCAGAACACCATCCCACTTCATTAACATCAGACCAAGACGGTGCATACCTCAGTAATGAAATCACAGAATTTCTCATTAAGCATAACATAACTCACTACACTACTGAAGACCATAACCATAACATACTCGGCATCATAAACCGCTTCATAAGGACACTAAGAGATTTAAATCAAGAGCGAGACTTTACCGAAGAAACAATGAAACATTTTCTCGAAGTATATAATTCCTCAACACATTCTACAACAGGACATACACCAAATTCAATGACACAACAACAAGAAGAAAAGTATATACAAAAGAAACGAAGTCAAACACAAAATATCAGAAATTCAACACAATTTACCCTCATTCCTGGTACAAAAGTTCGTGTAGTTCTTGACGACAAACCGTTGACAAAGAAACGTTTAAGGTTAAGTAGAAACTATTATATTGTAGACTCTACGCAAGGTAATGGATATCTTATAAAAGCTGCTGACGACTCTATTGCGTTTTACCCTCGTCATAAATTAGTTGAAAGTAGTAATGGCAAACTTGCTGAAACCATTGACGAAGCAAAGCGAGGAGTGGTTATTGAAATACTTGGCTATAACATAAACGATGACACTTATAAAGTAAGATATGAAGGAGGCGTTGAAGATGTTATACCATCTAAGAACTTGAGAGAGTCGAAGCCAACACATCTGGGACCATTAGAGCGGGAGTACTGGAAAGACAAAAATAAGCCAGAAAGAATAAGAAAATTCTTCTAAACTTTTTCGTTGGATGTAAATCAGACATGAACGAGAACAGTCATGAAATCATTAATGGTACCATTTATTTTTTGGGTCATAACGATAACATTAACGAACAGAGAATGTTCGACATTGATAACATAAACGATAACATAAACGATAACATTGACGAACAGAACATTCGCTGATCGTCAATTATGTTCGACATTGATAACATTAACGATAACATAAACGATAACATTGACGAACAGAACATTCGCTGATCGTCAATTATGTTCGACATTGATAACATAAACGATAACATTGACGATAACATAAACGATAACATTGACGAACAGAACATTCGCTGATCGTCAATTATGTTCGACATTGATAACATAAACGATAACATTGACGATAACATAAATGATAACATAAATGATAACATTAACGATAACATTGACGAACAGAACATTCGCTGATCGTCAATTATGTTCGACATTGATAACATAAACGATAACATTGACGATAACATAAACGATAAACATAAATGATAACATAAATGATAACATTAACGATAACATTGACGAACAGAACATTCGCTGATCGTCAATTATGTTCGACATTGATAACATAAACGATAACATTGACGATAACATAAACGATAACATAAATGATAACATAAATGATAACATTAACGATAACATTGACGAACAGAACATTCGCTGATCGTCAATTATGTTCGACATTGATAACATAAACGATAACATAAACGATAACATAAACGATAACATTGACGAACAGAACATTCGCTGATCGTCAATTATGTTCGACATTGATAACATAAACGATAACATTGACGATAACATTGACGATAACATAAACGATAACATTGACGATAACATAAACGATAACATTAGTTGAAAAAATAAAGTTAGTTTTATTTTTATTTATTTTTTTTATCTCATATGTAAAGACAGTGATGTCAAACATTGAGTTTGAAACAGTTAGAAAGATTGACAATGACACCAAAGTGGTTAGAATTGGTGATTTAAACGTAAGATACTGTAAGAAATACAACAAATATTCTTTGTCAGACATTATAACACCATCTGGAAAGAAAACAAAGGACTGGGTTAGAATTGCTTCTACTCAGAAAATTTTGACAAGAAATCCTAAGCTCATGATATCGGTAAGATTCTATGGAACTACAGCATATCTCATTGACAAAAGTCTTATACCAATAATTCTTCTGTGGATTGACCCTGTTGTTGGATATAACTTCATAACTTATGGTTCATTCGATACGGAACGTTGCAGTGAAGGCTTACTTTACATCGTTCAGAAACCGAAGGACTTCAATACAAAGAGATATAAGATCGGAAGAACATATAATATAACTCAAAGATATGACTCTACAGTCAATAGAGTCAAGGTTGTGTTCGTTAATGATATGAGAGCCGCAGAAACAGAACTACTCGAAAAGTTTGAGAAAATGTATGGTGCTCCCATGAAAGGTAAAGAAACGTTTGAAGTAGATGAGATAGATAAAGCTATAAAATTATTTGACGAAGTTGCTGAAAAATACATGTAAAGCGTTTATTTTTGTCTTTTGTGAAAGTCAGAAAATAACGCCAATTTTTTCCTAACAAAAATTTTTATCTTGTATGTAAAGACAGTAATGTCATCATCAGAGAACACAACAACTGCTATCGTTCATGAAGCCATCAATGAAGAATATGAGTACATACAGTATAACAAACAGTTACGTCTCATTCGTTCAGTCAAAGACGATATGTACAAAATGCAGAGTATTTTGACAGCATGTTTTGCTCCAGAGAATAAAACACCAAATGAATGGTTTGAATTAAATAGCACTCATGAACTCCTCAGTGAGTTTGAACATGTAGAACTTAAAAAGATGTACCAAGACAGACAAAACTTACCATCACATCTAAAAGGTATATATGTTCATAAGTTCCTAGTTAGTTCAATAGCAATGTGGGCTTGGCCCCGTTATGCAATCTACATACTTATGCTACTTGACGAACTTTGTACAAAGCAGAGAGAAGATATGATGAAAGAAGACAAAAGCATACAGAAAAGAATACCACGTTCGGTACCAAAAGGAAAGGAGAAGAGCTATAAGTATATGATTTACACTGAAGAGTTGGAGAAAGAAGAAGATAAAGATATGGTTATGTTACATTTAGTCAGAAGAAACAACAAGAGCTTTTATGACCTCGCTAAAATATATAAATCTGACAGAAACTGGTTCTATCGTGAAAACTTACCGATTTCAATGACACCGAATGAGCAAATAAAGGAAATTGTCAAAAATACTCTTCCTCAAACACACTATGACATCAAAGGTTGCACAATACTTACATTCAAAGAAGACTTAACATTACTGAAGGAAAAAATAACAGAATATTTCGACAACATTAACGAAGAAGTCACGACAACATTAACGAAGAAGTCACGACAACATTAACGAAGAAGTCACGACAACATTAACGAAGAAGTCACGACAACATTAACGAAGAAGTCACGACAACATTAACGAAGAAGTCACGACAACATTGACGAACAGAGAATGTTCTGTTCGTCAAGTTTATTTTGTTTTTACCATTTAATTGTTTCCATAAACGCTCCATGTCGAACATAATTGACGAACAGAGAATGTTCTGTTCGTCAAGTTTATTTTGTTTTTACCATTTAATTGTTGTAAAATATCCATATGAAGACTAACCAAAAATATATTTTTGCTTAAATAGCTTCAGGGTCTATTTCTTCAACCAGTTCACTTCCTTCGTCAATGTCAATAGAAGCTTCTTCAACCTTTGGTAAGAATTTCTGTATAACATCTTTGTTCGTTATTGTCTTCAGAGATGAAGGATAATATTTCACAGATGTTTCACCCTTCTTATATTCTTTCTGTTCGGAAAGATTTAAAGCAATACTGAAGAAGTCAATATTAGAGTTCTTTATAACAGTATAATGAGTATCTTTGACATTCACGAAGAAACTCTTTTGTTTCAAAACTACTGCTAACTCTTGTGAAGTATAACGTTTGCGGTCAATGACGATAGCTAATGGTCTGACATACTGACCAAACTTAGATTCTTTCACAAACTTCTTGTTAAAGATAACATTAACATTTGAAGCACCATTGAACTCATTCTTGATGGCAGTAGCGAGAGCATTGTATGAAAAGAACTTGCAATCTTGCATGTGTTTCATTAAAATAAAAATATTAAATTATTTTGAAAAATAACTTTAAAAAATCTAATCTAATTTTTTCAAAAAATATTTTTTTTATTTCCTACTAAAGATGTATCGGAAGTTGTCTAAGTTAGAACACTCGGAAATAAAACAACTTCTTACAGAAGCTAACATAGAAGTAGCAAAACATTACGCAACAAACAAAAAAGCACTCGCTGACATCCTCAATGACTATAATGGTGCAATAAGTTATGATAGAATTCATGAGTTCATAAAGCTGCAACGCGGCGAGGACGAAGTCCATGCAAGAGCATTTCCTTTAAATGACGTTGCTATTGACTTATATCATAGACGTTCAGTACCTCATGAAGTAAGAAGAGAAATGTTTGACATAACAAATGCAAACGTTGGTGAAACAAGAAGAAGAGACGACACACTGAAACAACAGAGAAGAGAGATGTTTAAGAGCGCTATAGAACAAGTTCGCAAAGCTAACGATGTCCTTCGTTCCATTGACGACAAACCAAAAGAAGGTGAGAGATGGTTAAAGAAAGATGAAGAGAATAGGAAGAGGAATGTTAAGACAGGCAATAGACTCATTGACTTTAACATCGAAGCTTTAGATGAACCAAACAGAGACTACTTACACAAACATTTCGGTAAGGTTTTCATGAGACTCTTAGAGAAAATTAAAATAAACTCACAACAGAGATGGATGGTATGTTATAAACTTGGTGGAAAGTATGAATGTTCTACGTTAAACCTCAATAATATTGGAACATTACTACATCAGCTCTTGAAGGAGAACTTTATATCAGAGATAGAAGCAAATGCTGCAGGTATTGTTGAAATGCACTATGACTTCTTCTTGACAAACATAAAGAATCTTACTGAAATAAAGATGTATGATTTAACAGAATATGAAGGCTTAACGATGTCAGATGTAAAGAAAGGCAAACCAAAAAAGAGACCATATAGAGATGAAAGCACACTGACAAATGACCAGAAAGCCATTTTGGAAGCTCTTAAGCAAACAGGAAACCCAGCACTTATAGAAAGCTTTTGGAAAGATAATGGTGAAAAGAAGTTTTATAAGAAGAGAAGCGGTCAGTTCTGGAAGTATCTTTGCACATTACCTATAAATCTTGAACGCTACCAAATCTTCAATGAACTGAACAAAAGAACTGCAACACTTATGACAGAAGATAACTGCTTCGTTTATGCTTGCATTCAGGCTGGAGTAAATGAAGAAACTATTGACCACATGAGAGAAGTCATTCGTGTTAGAGACTTTCCTCAAAGTAAAGTACAAGAAATTTCTGACGCAACAGGTATAGCATTTAATGTTACCATTGGTTACTTCAATGACTCAAGACATAATGAAATAAAGAGATACATACCAAAAGAATGTGAAACTGTTCGAACTATTGACTTACTTCTTGTTGAAGACCACTACATGCTAAATGAAAGATTACCAATGACAACATATTTCATTCGCAACTATATAGAAATCTTGAAGGAGTGTGGTGGAATGAACATTGAGAAACAGATGAAGATTTATACAAAGAGAGAGAAAAAATATGTAGTTCGTTATGATAGAACAACACCGTTATGGGATGTTATGAAAACATTGTGGGAGTGCAAATATTTCGAACCTATTTCTTATGGAGAACTTTTCACATATACGACTGACTTATATAAACAGAACCATTCACCATTTAAAGATTTGACATATGCTCCAAAGTATTGTGTACAACTGAAGATGAAAGCTGAGCCAAAAGAAGTAAATAAAAATAAGTGCAAGTTCATTCCTGAGCACGTTTTCTTTGCTGACTTTGAGTGCAGTACTGATGGCTTTCATAAAGCTTTTAACATCTGTTACGACAGTGAAGATGGTTCAGTGAGTGAAAGCATTTGGGGTCAGAACTGTGCAACAGAATTTTTGGAAAGACTCCCTGACAAGAGTTTAATATATTTCCATAACCTCAGTTATGATATAAACTTCATCTTAAGACACATGACAGAAGTGAAAGGAACTCCCATCATTAAAGGTTCACGAACAATGCAAATAACTGGCTTATATAAAGGAAGGGCAATTATTATAAAAGACTCATACACTGTTATAAATAAGAAGCTTAAACTATTTCCTGTTATGTTTAACTTACAAACAGGACCGAAAGAAGTATTTCCATACAACTACTACAGCAGTGTTTTGTTAGCAAATGACAACAGAACTGGTGTCATTTCTGAAGCGTGTAAGTTTATCCAGGATGCGGATACATTCATGAAAAACATAGATTTAATCGAAAACTGCAGAATAGATGAAAACCATTTCGATTTAGAAAAATATAGCTCATTTTATTGCAAACAGGACGTAAGGATTTTAAGAGAAGGTTTTGTTAAGTTCCGCAATGACATATTAAAAGAATTTGATTTAAACATTTATGACTACGTTAGTATTTGTTCAATTGCTAACAAATTATTTGAGAACAGAGTGTACTTCCCGAATGGAAATTTATATGACCTCTCAAATAAACCAAGAGAATTTATTTCACGCTGTATTCAAGGTGGAAGATGTATGCTGTCAGATAACATTAAACAAAAGAGCGAAAAGAAACTCATTGCTGATTTCGACGCTGTTTCATTATATCCATCAGCTATAGCAAGACTTTATACTTTAGAAGGTATTCCAAAGGTTATGAAGAAAGAAATGTTAAGCACAGAGTATCTCATGAGACATTTATTCGATGACGACCAAAAGGAACCCATTGGTGAAAAGTTTATGTCTGGCTTCTTTGTTCTCATTAAGATAACAGAGATTGGAATACATAGACACTTTCCTTTAATAGTTTGTGACCCTGAACTAAATCCAGAACTTAACGTTCCCAGAAGTTCAAACACTTGCTGTTTAATGTATGTTGACCATATAACATTACAAGACCTCATAAAATATCAAGGTGTCAAATGTGAAGTGTTGCAAGGATACTATTACGATGGAAACAGAGATATTAGAATAAGAGATGAAGTAAAGAAGTTGTTTGAGTTAAGGTTAAAGTATAAGAAAGAAGGAAATCCTTTGCAAGAAAATATAAAGCTCATTCTGAACAGTATTTATGGCAAAACTATTCTATCTCCTATTGAGTCAAAAATAACCATAGTAAATGACAAAGATACTATAAGATATGCCATCAGAAACTACAACCATATAGTGAAGTTCGAAGGTTTGGATGGTTCAGATAAAACTATTTTCAAGCTAACGAAAAGTATTTGCAGACACTTTAACTTCTGTCCACTTGGTGTTAATATTCTGTCAATGTCGAAGAGAATAATGAACGAAGTATTCTGTACTGCAGAGGATATGGGACTTCAAATATTTTACCAGGACTGTGATAGCATGCATATTTTCAATGAAGACATACCAAAGCTTGCAGCAGAGTTTAAGAAGAGATACGGTCGCGAACTTATAGGAAAGAACCTTGGTCAATTTCATTCTGACTTCGCAGAAATAACACCTGGAAAACAAAGTTTAGCATACAAGTCAATATTTTGTGGAAAGAAGACCTACATAGACTTACTCACTAACGATTTAAATGAAGTTGCATTCCATGCACGTTGCAAAGGTGTCAAACAAGACGTCCTTGCTTTAACAGCAAATGAAATGTTTCCTGAAGCTATACAATGCTATTACAATGAAGATAAGAACATTCACATACCTGTTGGAACATATGACAAAGACTCTGAGTTCAGTTTAATGAAACTTTACAAAGCACTTCATGATGGTCAAGAGATTGGATTTGACTTATGTAAGTCATGTCAACCTTGCTTTGAAGAGAAGTTTAACTTCTCAATAACGACTAAAACAAGCTTTATTCGTAAGTTGAAGTTCTGAGGTCATTTATTTTTGTCAGCAATGAGGTCATGAATGAGGTCATTTATTTTTGTCAGCAATGAGGTCATGAATGAGGTCAGCAATGAGGTCATGAATGAGGTCATGAATGAGGTCATTTACAATACTGCGATGGTAGAGTTTAAGAGTTGTGCTTCAATGTAGAGACAGTCCTTATGGTCTGGAGGTAAGAACACTGGTGCTTTATGGTCATGAGTGGAGAACATGTCTATCCAAAACTCACGATTGAAGCCAGTTAATTTATAGTATTTAGGGTTAGGAAGTGGTGAAGTTCTTGTATGACCAATGAACTCATTTTCAACTCCCTTACTTAAGTTTGAATATAATATAGCTTGCTTTCTATCCCAAATACCTGGAAATCTAATTTCGGAAAATTCACTTTTCCTCGGAAGCATTGCATCATAATTGAAAACATTTTTGAAATCATCACTTGGTTCAGAGATTTGAAATCTTATACGTAATGGATTTTCTTTCTCTTTAGCGACTTCATTGAATGGTGAGAATACAATGAATTGACAGTCATGAGTTCCATCTTCATTTGGTACAAACTCGTAATGAAAAGCTATTAATCTTTCTACAATTCCTTCTTCTTTCAGTTGTGCAAGAAACTCACGTAAAGGCTGTAAAGTTTGTACTTCAATGTTAAACTTCTTTTGAAAATTTTCGTAAAATATAATTATACAGTCTTCTAACGTCGTACTGTTTTTAAAGTATTTGTATATGTGAATGTTTTGGGCGCTTAAAGACTGTTCGTCATTTTCTATCTCGACTTGAAGTATAAAGTCAACCTTTCTGAAAGCACGTGTTATATACATATTTGTTATGCCAATGTACTTCTCTTCATTTATGTTCACAATCCAGTCTGTTGGAAACTTAAACGTTACTCTGTTCCCCTTTATTTTGACGTCAGGGTTTTCACTACTGAACGCAACAGATAAAGGTATTTGTCTATACATTTAATTCGGATAAAAATAAACCATTTACTCTTTCTTTGCTTCAGCGTCTTCTCTAGCTTTCTTCGCCAGTAGTCTTGGGTTCTTTTGTCTTCCAGCAGCTAATGCAGCAAGTTGTTTTTCACTAAGTTTTCTCTTTGGTCTCTCTGGCTTTTGTTCTTGTTTTTGTTCCTTCAGTTCGGATAAAATTTGCTCACGAATTTCTTTCTTCAATGCTTCAACATCTATGACCCCTTGGGTCTTGTCCGTAGGGTTTGTCTGAGTCATTTGACTGCAGATAAAAAACAAAATTAAAACTTTAACCGATGTAAAATGAGCTTGTCAAAATCAGAGCGAGAGTCTATTATATTAAATGACGCAAGAGGAATACAACATCCTTTCTATTACGTAAGTCAGAGTAAAGATGGTAAAATATACGTAAGAAAAAGAAAGGTTCCATTAGCGAATGCAGAAAGCGACAACATTAAGGTGTATGGCAAGGGTGAAGTCCACGAAGCCCATATAAAACCTTCTGTTCAAACTGAGCCACCAATAGAACCAGAAGAAAAGAAGCCAGATGTACTTTCAATAACGAACCAAGAGCTTATTGCAAAGTTCGTGAATTTCATTGAAAAACAAACCGAGTCAAAGAATCCTGACCCGCCAGTGAAAGAAGTTGAGACAAAAGAGAATGTACAGTTCATTGAAAATGTCAAGAAACAACTTCCACCACGAATGCCAAGAAGAAGAGTGAGAATAATGAAGTAAATAGATATTTTTATCCGAAGTAAATACATGCAGAACGAACAGTTAAACGAATTTACTCCAGCAGAGCATATTCATCAGATTCGCTCATATTTCGATATCATAGACAATGCAGTTCAAATTGGTGACACTAATAGAAAATATTCTGACGCAAAGATTCCATCACAACCTGGAACTGCTAAAGATAACAAATGGGTAACATTCAATCTCTCACCTCCTGGTGAAAATATGTTGGACCTTTACAATACATTCATTACGTATAAAATGGAAGGTCAATTTATTGTAGATAAAGAAATTGGTTCAGGTTCCAATAAAACAAACCCACCAGGATTTTGGATTGGTTTCGATGACGCTTTCTATGCAGTTGCTGGATATCAAATCCTTGCAAATGGTCGTAACGTATATTCTCAAGACAACGCAAGAGAAGAAG